TTACTAACGCGGAAAGAGTCAGACGCCATTGATTCTTGTGGCCAACTCCCGAGTGGCGGCTGACGGTGGTGTTGGTCTGCTTCTCTTCCGCCATTGATTCGAGGTTTTGCTTGGATTGGATGGAGGTTTTGGGAGTGAAATTGGAATGGTGGAAATGAGATGAAAAAGCTGGGAAATTTTGGGGAAAGGGATGATTATATAGTGGTGTGGATTATAATTTTTGCTGAGTTGAAGATATTAATCACATCACAAATTGTAACTCTCACCTGAATCAAGTCAATTTGATTGTGATTCCCTCGGCCTCTTCTACGGTGCGCTGCGGTGTGTTTGGAGTGGAATTCCAGGTTCGACGGAAGGAATGTCGCTATCGGGTCGAAGGTTGTGTTCTCGTGGTGGTGAAGTTGGGTCGGGTAGGGTATTGGGGTGTGTAGACTGAGGGAGATGTGGTTGTTGGAAGTGGTGCGAGCGGTAGTGCTGGTGGAAAGACGCAAACGACGTTGAAGTAAAGAAGCATAAGAAGGCGACGGGCGCATCAAACTGGCGGGCGCGGGCTCACCAAGACCTTCACCGACTTTTGGCGATGGTCCCTTTTCCGCCGAGGTCCATTCCCTACATATATTTTCCCCTTAGATCATAAATTTCAAAAGGGTTATAGGTATAATATGCCCCTCTACTATGCAGTTTTATGAAACATGCCCCTCTACTATTTTTTACATCAAACATGCCCCTATACTTTGTAAAAATGATCAAACATGCCCTTATGTTAAAATTTGCATCCAAAAACCATCAACCATGGTCGAACCTTGGTTTGTGCGACACCTATGTCTAAAATATTTCTATCAATTTCACTTTAGAATTGTTTTGTTTCTTTTGTACAGCCAAATACCTCTAATAATTTCACTACAAAGAGACCTGGAGAAATAAATGAGGAAGAAAAACTGATATTTCACCCAAAAAAATTTCAATGTCGGTTCGTGCGAATCTCGGTTTAACCGTGTTTGACCATTTCTTAATGGAAATTTTAGCATAAGGTCATGTTTGAGAATTTTTTCAAAGTAGAGGGGCATGTTTGATGTAAAAAGTAGTAGAGGGGCATGTTTGATAAAACTCCATAGTAGAGGGGCATATTATACATATAACCCATTTCAAAACCATAGCCAAGAAAATATATATTTTCCCCTTAGATCATAAATTTCAATACCTATGCATAATTTTGATATCATAAATCTATGTAAATGACAAAAACACAAAATCAAGGCAAGCCAACTGGTATCAAAACATCATAGATATGTTATTTTTTTGGGTTAATATATTCGTATGGCCTGAACTTTGACCAAAATAAACATCCTGGCCAATCTTTTCGATCTATAACATCCTGGCCCGAACTATACACCAAAATAAACAATTTGGCCAAACCCGATGTTTGACCGTTAACTTGGACGGTCAAACACGTTGACTAACGGTCAACTCGCCACGTCACTGCCTCGTCACTGCCAAGTCAGAAGATCTGATAAATATTTAATTTTTTTCGTTTTTATTTTTGGTTTAACTAAGGTATTAGATGATTTTTTAATTTATAATAATTTAAAATTAGGGAATGTGTGGAAATCGTGAATTATTTTAAATATTTTATGCTGACTTGGCAGTGACATGGCGCGTTGACTAACGGTCAACGCGTTTGACCGTCCAAGTTAACGGTCAAAAGTCGGATCAGGCCAAATTGTTTATTTTGGTGTATAGTTCGGGCCAGGGTGTTATAGATCGAAAAGATTGGCCAAGATGTTTATTTTGGTCAAAATTCAGGCCATACAAAAATATTAACCCAATTTTTTTAGATAAGGGCAATATAGGTTTACATTTTGTGATTAAGTACTACCGAAGGGATTTGGGACCTCCAGGTTAAAAGCTAGTGGTATTACCACTAGACCAAGCTCTTGTTCGTCATAACATCATAAAAATTAACGTAATGTCATATGGAGACACGATCATCTCTATTATGTGGCAAAGTATGGTTTATGAATGGATGAAAGGACACGATTCCCAAAATTAGGAGTGAGACTTGGGTCTCGTTGATGAGTTGGGAGAATGGTAGAATGAGTTCCTAACTCGAATTGGGAAGTGTGATGGATCCACGGTTTAGTCTAGTAACCTGCAATCTAGACCATGCTAGACCAAGAAATCAATAAATTCTATAATACAGACCATAGACCAGACTACACCAAACTAGATCATTCTTTTATATATATATGGTGACTACTTCGGTGCACTCACAAAAATGAGTGCGTCCAATGCACCCAACTCAAAAACTAGTCTTAAGGTGTCAGATTTTGAATTTTAATTTGTAGAATTAATGTAATATGATGATATAACATATGATAACAACTAATTAGCGGATTACCCTAAGCCCTAGACCTCCAATTTTGAGTTCTATCCCTAAACCCCAAATTGTAAACCCTAACCCTAACCCTAAATCTCTAAACTCTAAATTCTTCAAATTAAAGTAAATCTTCATTGGGTTTTGTGCAAATTCATGTGTGTTATTGTTCATCACATCATAAGTGATGATTAACATCATTTTGACATAAATCGCATGTTTAAAATGACGGTTATGAAGCGAGTGCAACCAAAAAAGTGAGTGCACCGAATACGCCACCATATATATATATGACGGTCACTTCCGTTCACATAGTCGTATGACGGTCAAGCTTTAATATTTAGACCACGAATTAACTGGAGTTTGGGGCATGATACTATGTCCTAACCTCTCATGAGTGAACCCCAATTCTTAATTCTCTAACCCTGACCATAAAATTTACTTAATCTAAAAAATAACAATTCGACGATTCTGATTCGTCGAAAATATATCAAAGTACACATAATCAGTTTGGTCCACGATTTTTTTTCAAACAGACTGGTCTATTTTCCGGCCCTGATTGGAACTATCATCTCCGTTTGCACCAAACGCAAATCGATCATCGGCTCATCGCCAGCCAGCCCCTGCAATTCCGTGCTGCACAATTTATATATATATATATTTGCGTCTGAGCCAAGTGGGTTCCGTACATCCCTGCCGTGCTTCTTCTAAAACGATACATCGTGCTTGCTAGTTTTAAGTAAGTGCATTTCAACCTCACGCAAAAACAGCTGATAGATCTCATTAACAATCAATTCCCCTGTACGTTCCATTAGAAAAAACACTTAAGTCAAGTTTCTTCGTAGTGGATCCAATGAATAAAAGGAATCTTATAATTTTGAAATCTGAAACGGCGGTGAGAAGAAAAAAAAAATGGGTTTAGAATAGAAATGTGGTGCTTGCTCCATGTTGCTTGCGCAGGTGCCGTAATACACGCATCGCCATCAATAGCCGTTATTTGCACCATAAAGAAACCCCGTCTCAGTCACCGCGCCCACCGTCTAAATTCCCATCATTACTCTTTGGTTAAATAGTAGAGTATTATTAGCATAGTTGTCACGCCGGCCGGCGTGCCACCGGTTATACCGGGTTCAACCGGTACCGGTCATAAAACCGGCGTGACACCACCGGTATGACCGGCATGATCGATATACGAATCTCTAAATAAAATGATCTTATTTTAGAGAATTTAATTGATAAAAATTATTTTATTATTTATTTTATGAGTATAAAAGTTAAATATTGATGTTATTTGTTGGATTCAAGTATAAATGTTTAGGTATTGACGTTAAATGTCATGTTTAAATATGAGTATTTATAATTTTATTTGTAATATTGACCGGCATGAACCGGCACAAACCGGTATGTGCCACCGGTTGAACCATTCCACTTGCTAAACCGGCACACTGGCATAAACCGGTTTGATAACCTTGATTATTAGAGTTCCGCAGAGCAATAGGGTGTTTTTAGGTTTACTTATCTGCAACCATTACTCCAACTTGGCTAGTTGTGAAAGGGGCAACTATGCTCTTATGTATTAACTAGATTAGGGTTCGGCTTGCGTTGGTCGGATAAAAGCGAAATTTAACGATTTTACTTGTGGTACATCATTAATATTGAGAAAGTTGAATATTTTTATCGCCATAGTAATAAATATTAAAAATAAAAAAATGTGACAAATAAATAATTTATCAATACATTTTTTCCTAGTAATTTTGATCGTTTAAGAAGAAATTTGCCCCCAGAAAAGTGAGTGCACTGAAGACACCACCATATATAAATAAAAAGTACTAAAATATAGATAGTTATATCATTTTTCCTATATTTTGACGAATCCTTACCGTTGATTTTTGTTTCTATTTAAATTGATCTTAGTGTGTAAAATTTACAGAATTAAGACCTGGCTTTTAATCTTTAAGGGGGGTGGGAATAGTACCATATGCTAAACTCCGGTCAATTCAAGGTCCAGATATCGTTTTCTTACTCAAGGTATGTCGTACCTTTGATTTTACCCAAGGTACGATAGAACCGCCATATATTATACATATGGGTTAAAAGCTCATGTAATGTCTTACACCAGACAATCTCCACCGTACAGACCGACACAAACCGATTGTACCACCGCGGTCATACCATTCTACTTGTCCAACTAACAAAACGATATATAAATTCGGTTTGACAACCTTACACCTACCCTTCCCCTTAACAATTCCAACTCATAATCCAAACTTTTTCTTTTTTATTTTGCTAGAATGATATAACTATCGTTATTTCAGTACCTTTTATTTGTATAAATTTTAAATTACTTCTAAGAGTTGTAAAAACGAATCTAAAATGGTCCGACCGTAAAGTTAGCCAAAACTCAATAAAATAATCTATCGTGTCCTTAATTAGCAGGTTATCATAAAAATAAAAAAATTAATATGTCCTACTCGTACAATTGAAACGTACACCCTTCGATCTAATCCTACTTATCTCCCCAACTATAAATAAATACCCCACTCCACCTCCTTATCACAACTCACAAATACCCACGATTCATTTCGACGGTTTCCCTTTTTCTCTTCTTTTCACTTCACACAGAAAAATGGCCATTCACTCTAACCTCATTTCCCTTCTCTTCCTCGCAACAGCAATCACCATCCTCACCATCTCTCCACCCACATCGGCCGCAACTCGGCGGCCGCAGTTCAACGTGGTCCGATTCGGGGCCAGACCGGACGGTCGAACCGACTCCACCAGGGCCTTCCTGACCGCGTGGACCCGGGCCTGCGGTTCAAGGGTTCGGGTCATAATGCTGGTTCCCAAAGGACGGTTTCTGGTCCGAAACATGCAGTTCACCGGTCCATGCAAGAACCGGTCCATCTTCGTTCGCATCCTTGGCACCATTGTCGCTCCAAACAACATATGGACCACCGGGAACAGCCCGCACTGGATCGAGTTCCACCGGGTCGACGGCGTCACCATCTCCGGCGGCGTCCTCGACGGCAAGGGCGCCGCCTTGTGGGCTTGCAAGAAGGCCGGCCGGAGCTGCCCCAACGGTGCTACGGTACGTGTTATAACGTGTGTAGCTTATAGCTAAATTAGCTACTTGTTGTCAAATCTCGATCGACTCGTAATTAATGTGTTTTTTTTTTTTTTGTGATTGGATCGGTTTGCTTGTTTTAATAATTGGTTTTTTTTTCTGAGCGGTTATTTTAACTTTGGTTGAAAAGGGTTTAATTGTAGCTTAATATTAATAAATTTTTTTTGATGTTGCAAAAATTAGTTAGTTGACCTTTTGGAGAAATTTTGTTTTTTAATAATAAAAAGGCATGTGGAAATGATATTTTTTGGATCTTAGACTTGTACGTCAACTAGATCCTGATATGATGAGAGTGAGCTTGTGCTGCAATTAATGGAGCTAGATATAAAATAAAATGAAATACGAAAACGTATTTGTGAGAATTTTGCTATAAAAAAAAAAGGCTAAACTACTGATAAACTATATACAATGACGGTGGTTAGTATGCAGGTACCCCCAGGTTTAGTAGGCTCCGCTGTCACTCATGTGGCATGTGGGTTGCTGATATTCCTGGGTTATCAAATAAAAACACTATATACAATGACGGAGTAATTATAAATATAAAAGAGGGACTGATTTGAACCACTGTGATTGGAGAGGAGGCTAAGTTGTTACCGACTACTTTACTTCATAAAAATTATTTTTGTATGTAATTTTATCAATATTTCAAAATTGAAGCGACTATGACCTCTCGTTGCTTTTAAGTTTTGAACCTAACTCCGCCGCTGACTATATGGGAATGCAGACGTTGAGCATATCAAACTCCCAGAACGTGGTGGTGAGTAGGCTGACGTCGCTAAACAGCCACATGTTCCACATGGTCATCAACTTCTGCCACAACGTGAAGCTGCAAGGCGTCAGGATCTCCGCTCCGGGGAACTCCCCAAACACCGACGGAATCCACGTCCAGTTCTCCACCGCCGTCAGCATCGTCAGCTCCAAGATCGCCACGGGCGACGACTGCGTCTCCATCGGCCCCGGCACCGCCAACATGTTGGTGGACAAAGTCACATGTGGGCCCGGCCACGGCATCAGGTATAAACTAAATTGTTTAAATCGCTAATTCGCCCGCATCCCAACATTACCACTATACCAAATCCTTGTTTTTTTACTATCGTGTAACGCGACTTAAAACGATTGGTCGAAATCGACGCGCGTGCACAGCATTGGGAGCTTGGGGAAGGATGTGAACGAGCAAGGAGTGCAAAACGTGACGGTTAGGTCGACCACATTCGTCGGCACGACAAACGGTTTCAGAATCAAGGCCTGGGGGAAGCCCAGCAATGGGTTCGCCAGAAACATTCTCTTCCAGCATGCCACCATGTACAACGTGCAGAATCCCATCTTCATCGACCAGCGTTACTGCCCCGACAGAAACTGTGCCGATCAGGTAAAAAAAAAAAAAAAGGTTACACATTTTTTTTGTGTGTTTTTTTGTTACGCTTAATTACTTCGTAGCAGTAATAACATATAACGTTGCACCACCACGACGACGTACCAGGGGTCGGGGGTACGAGTGAGCGACGTGACGTACCAGAACATCCGGGGAACGTCGGCGACCCAAGTGGCGGTGAACTTCGACTGCAGCAACAGGTCGCCCTGCCGTGGGATCCGACTGAACAACGTCAGGCTGACGTACAGGAATCGAGCGGCGGTTGCGTCGTGTAGAAATGCCGGCGGAACTGCCTACGGCTTCGTCCAGCCCAGGAGCTGCCTGTAGATCACATCCCAGATCGAGTAATTAATGGAATCAAAACTTGGAAATTTGAATGTTCTTAATGAATTAGTTGACTAATTTTCACATGCTGCATGTAATCTTTATTGTTATATATATATGCTCGAGCCTGTGGCATGTCCAGCACTTATCTCGGGGATGCTTGTGGAGCCCGGCTTTGTATTTTACGATTTATCAACATGTCAATGGACAATCGTACTATACGATTCCTTTCTCTAAGGAATTCCATAGAAAATTCTTATTGCAATCTCTAAGCCTGAGACGATTTCTCTTCACACCAGAGAATAATCAATCCGTATAGATCGACTAACAATCGAAAGCTTCCGGATCACACTTCTATATTACTCGACAAAATCAAAATATGAAGATGTTTATATGGTGAATCAAAGTAGAGAGAGATCGTGTTTAGAAATGAGTTATGTGTCCCAATAACGAGAGAAAAGAGAGTTCCTTAGAAGGCCAAATGGCTTATTTATAGGGAAAACGTATGTTACTTGCTTGTGATTTAGAGTCTAAGAGGGTCTATTTATAGGGTTGAAATTAGCTTTTTCAAGAAATTTTCTAGGGTAAGACCTCTCTCTTAGGGTTCAAGATAGGGTGTATAACCTTAGAGTGCATAACTATGAGTAATCAAATCTGAACCCTTCTTTTAAGTGACTGCAGATCTAAGGGTGGAGAATTAAAGAAATTTATTTTTCCTAGTTTTCTTGATTGGGTCATATCTTCTTCATTCTAACTCGGATTTCAATTTGTTTTGCACAGATGGAACGAGTTTGTTGTGCTCTTCAAAATTATATCCATTTTCAATATTTTTTGAGAAAAACAAATTTCATACCTCTCGTTACCAACTCCATACCATACTATACCACCCTGGTATGGGGTGATATTTTCATACCATATGGTATGTTGTTATTTAATACCAGTCTATACCATATGGTATAGTCAATATCATCTATACCATATGGTATAGACTGGTAATAACTGACAATTTTTTTTGTTCCAAAAAATCAAAGTGGATATCATATTGAAGAACACAATTAATCTGATCTAACTGTGCAAAAAAATTAAATTCAGAGTTAAAACGAGTGACAAATCATCCGTTAAAGATTAAGGGAAGGAAAATTAAAGATTTTTCGAGGATAGAGAAGAAGACACTGATGTGACGGATTCTTATTGGGTTATGCATGGAGTTATAGCACCACAAGGTTACTCACCAGATCTGCTCCCCTCTCTTAGGATCCGTTAGCGATTATCCTTTTCCCATGGCCAATGGAAAGTCTTTTGGTCATCAAATTAAAAGACGATTTTCAGTGGGTTTTTATTCTCGTTAGAACTCTATTCTTGTTCGTTGAACCCACACTCTCATATTCTCATCCTTTTTATATCATTCTTCATACTTTGATCTAATGGGCACTCTGGACCGCCATTTTTTCTGAGTTGCTTATAGTTCAAGAGTTATGATGTCTAGTCCACATGATGATTCTCTGTGATACCTTGGCCTGAAATATTCAAAAATTACCCGAAAAGCATCAAATATGTATAAACACTCCTAGAGGCTAACAAACGCATGTTTGAGCACATAAAAAGCAATATTAGCTAAGACATATATCCAAGTGATAATGGCAAATACGGTCATGTGGGAGTTAGATATGGTAAAATCTGTGAATTGATCACTCATTAAGTCATGTGTATACAGTATGATTGAACTTGAGATAATTTAGTTGATCATTTGGAAAAAAATGATTAGCTTGTGATTTGGTGGTCAAGTCTATGAAAGGGATGAACTTAAACTGCATCTAGTTTCCAATTGTATTATGAGATACCAAAATTCTCTCTAGTACATTGTTAGAGGCTGAATTCAATATGGAAAACTCATTATTAGAAATTGAAGCACACAATTTGTCATCCTAATTCCTAAGGTAGGTATCTGTTTTCCAGCATGAAATAAGAGAATGGAATTTAAAACTTCTTAATTTTTATATTTGACAAAGTGTATTATGCGGGTACTCGAATAAGAGATTCGACCTACGTAAGCATGAAGTGTAGCCGCATCAAGAAACTCGGACTTTTGTTTCGTGTGCTCTTTTGAAAAGGATTGGGATATATGATGGATAATATTGTCAAAGTTACTTAGAAGTTTATATAGCTTTGGGGTTGGACCGACTAAACCGATTTGGGGTTAGACCAACCAAGTCAAATATTCTAATTCAATGAAGCGACACATTTTTTTGGATTTAGTGGCGGTTACATTTTCATTGATAAGAACAAACTTATGGATAAAGACGACCTTATGATAGGGACAATCCTATAGATAGAGAACAACAATTTAAATGGATAAGGATCACTTTTCATATGAATATGGACAACCTTTCATATAGATATAGATGACATCAATACAATCTCTCATGAAACAATTCATGGATTCAACTCCTACACATATATGCGATGGGACGAACGATGTTAACACGTTATCAAACTGATTCTTCTTCTTTCTTCCGGAAACTTTCTATGTTTGTTTTTGCATTCTTAAACGTAGAATCTAAAGTAATGATTTCAAATCGTTCACATCTCACCTCACCCAAAAATTCTAAGTTTACGATGTGAACGTACGTAACTAGCATTAGCGAGGCAATTCAGAGGAAAGTGGCGCGCAATTAGTCAAATATACAAATTACTCTGAATCAAGACATCTCGGTCAAACAATATACAGAAGAAGAATAAAAAGTTGAAGAAAGAAGAATAAAAAAAAATCAAGCAAACCACATCGATACACGTACAATCCTCGCCGGGTAAAAAAAAGAATAATAATAAAAGAATCTTTTTGGAATGACATTACAGCACGCAAATAAATCAAGCAATTCCTGAAGGACACAATCTTTCTTCTTTTATCTTTGAACTGAATAGCTAGTGGCCGCCATGCATCGCCCCACGACCGTCGTTGACATTGACATTCCCGGCGGCGGCTTTGCTGCCGGCCACCGCGTACTTGGATTCACCACCAGCACCAGCAGTAGGAATACTAACAGGGGCGTGGCGCTTCCTGAGGCTGCTGGAGCGAAGCAGATCATGCTGGCCGGACGTCTGGCCGGAGAAATCAGCGGCGGCCGGAGGCGGCATCTGAAACTCCGACCTTGTCCGGCGATGATGAGATGAGCCGCTGAAGGAGTCCGGTTGGACGAGCAAGTGGTAGCTCCTGGTGGAGCCCTCGGAGAAAGACATGGAGCGGCGGTGGTGGTGGTGGTGCGGCTTGTTGTTGTTGTTGCTGTGCTTCTTCATCGCGTGGAACAGAAACGGAATCAGCCCGTCCATGCTTTTGCTTTGCTTTTCTGGTTGGGTTTTACTGTTGTGCTTGCTTGTAGTGGTTTTTGAGGATATTATGGTTTTGTTGAGATGAAATGAATGAGGAGGGAAAGGGAATGGATGTGTATTTATAGTGGGTTTGTGCCTTTGTGGTGGTGGACTTTTTTTATATCGGATAAGTTTGGACTTTTGTGGTGGCGAAAATGTTGAATGTGGAATGGTCAATTTCAACGTGCCGATTACCAGCCAGCTGGTTAGCGAGGCGCGGAATTGGAATTAGGAAAGGTGGTGGGAAATTAGCACAAGCTAGCGAGGTAGATAGTGCCATCCCTAGGCAAGGAAAGTCTTTACCAAATTGTTTCCAAAATAGTTTGAAACAGCTAATATACAATTAGTGGGCTAGTGGGGTTTATTCTCTTTTTTTTTTCAGTCTTAGTTTTTATTTATTTATTTAAATCATTTTGATTTCTAAGGTTTTAAATAGATCAAACTACTCTAGAAGATTTGATTAAGGAGAGCTGAAAAAAGGTTCTCAGAGATTATGAGGAGTCCGATCAAATGGTGAACTTCGAGGATAAGTTTGAAGTATCATTCTAACTTCAATATATCTCCAATCATAGGAGTTTGGAAATAAGTGGCGTTCTAGAGATGAAGAGAGTTTGTCAAGCATAACAAGTATTTGGGTCTTGCCATGGATGTCGGGCGTTCGAAGAAATTGTCGTTTGAGGATCTGAAAGATAGAGTTCGGAAAAAAAAAACTGAAGGGATAGAAGGAAAAGACTCTACCTGTGGCACCTCGAGAACTACCGATTAAATCAGTAGCACAAGTGCAGTTTTCCTATGCAGTGTCAATTTCAAGGTAACGGATGAGAAGGTTGACAAATTTCATAACATGATAATGAATTTCTGGTGGGGGCAGCAATATATATTGTATGGACAAAAATATTCACCCGCCAATAGACTTTTGGCTGTGGTCAAAAGGAACTCCATTTGGCACCTGATCCCGACTCGTGCTCGATGCGACTTACCCTTGTGGAGGTCGATCTAATTCGTTAATGTGTTTAATCAGCCTCACTAACTCTATTATCTATCGGAGATCCCGCCAAACTCCAAGTAAAATTAACTTAGACATTACTACAAATCATAGTAGCAAACTCCTAACAGTTCTACGAGATTAATCACCATACATAACAACACTACAACTTTTTTTTTAAGACATAACAACACTATAACTGTTATTATACTATTCTCGATCGATATTTATTTAATTACGATCAATTCAAACAATGCTGAAGGGAATACTCATCAAGTTTATGCGATGTGAGACGGAATTATTTCCCATCACAATTAGGAAAATTCCTTTCCGAAATTTAGAACCTTAGTTTTGTATATAATAACAAAGATTGATTCTGCAGACCATGACTCATTAACGGTAATAACTACCTCCTCCCCTGCACCGGGAGAGAGAGGGATTAAGAGAGGGGGAAGAACTCAAACGAACAAAAAAAAAATTCAATTAAACCCTCCTCCGAATCAGAATTCTCAATACGATTTCCTGCTAAGCCAAAGAAACCCATTGCTCCTTCTCCTGATCTAGGACTACCCATTTTCTTGAATTCGTAGAATTAATTCTCTCGAAGGAGGAACGAGAAAAGGAAAAATGGAGGAGCTTGAGTCAGGTGTCCTCGTGAAATTCCTGCAACGAATGAACGTACATGGCAAAAAGATGCTACGGGATCCAGATCCCGTTCTGTTACAGATCAGGAGCATCATCCCGGTGTTGAAAGACGGCGAAATCTACCCCAATCAGGGTTTCTTCCTCAAGATTTCAGATTTGACCCACGCCATGTTCGTCTCGCTGCCGCAAGAACAGGACGAAATGATCCTCTGCAACAAATTGCATCTAGGTCAGTTTATATACGTGGAAAGATTAGAGGCCGCGTATCCTGTCCCGATGATCAAAGGCGTGAGGCCGATTCCAGGGAGGCATCCTTGTGCTGGGCATCCCAAAGATCTCCTCCCCAGCGAGAACCTCGAGAAATTTCTTGGGGTTTCCAAGTTGGAATCCATCGGAGAATACTGCGGCGGCGGTGGCGGTGGGATCGAACAATCGGACAAGGGGAAAACCCTAACGGCTCCCAGGGTGAGTGTAAACGAGATGAGGGACAGAATCAAGACCCTGAGCTGGACGATTGAAGACAACGGCGTTGAGGCCGAGAAGCAGAAGAAGAAGGAGGCGTCGAGCAAGAAATCGCGGCCGGCGGGCAGTGCTCCAAAGGGGAACGAGGTGAAGAAGAGCAAGAGCCTCTTGAATTACAGGCCTAGAGGGATGGATGTGGAGAGCACGTTGAGTTTGAGGGGTAAGAAGAACGAGGAGATGTGGTTGCGGAAGAACAATCCTAACGTATCGAGGAATGCGGATAGGGATAGTGATTGCGAGAGTACATTGACGACGAGCACCGGAGCTGTGAGCAGGAAGAGCTGGAATAATGATGTTGAAGTTGTGAGAATGGTGGATACTGCTGATACTTGTGTGAGTCTACTTAGTTTTTGTTTGATCAAAAGCTTTTCCATTCCGCTTTACTTTAGTTCTGTTTGGTGGTTGAATGTGTGTGTGTGTTTGGTGTTTTGCTTGATTCTGGGGGACAGAATTCTTCAGTTCAATTGTCAATGAATGATAGCTCAGATGACAATTCGAGCTGCAAAACTATGAGGAGAGTTGTTAGTATGACTATGAACAGGCCATCGAAATATGTCAGCAAGAATTTTGTGTCGGTACCAAGGCGATTGAGTGAAGATTTCTCAAGTCAGAATGCGATTTCGAGTTCCACAGTTGATAAGCACACAGATGATAACAGGCCATCCTGGGATTACCTTCCTTCCACCTTGGTCAAAATCGGACAGGTACATAAATCAGTTTGCTTTAAACTAGATTTTCATTTCTTGGTATGACATAATATCATCAGAGGGAGAAAGTTTGATTGTTCACTTCGGATCTTAAACGCTATGCAGGATGTGCTCATGCAGAGGGACCTAGCTCTTTCTACTGCAGTGGAGGCTTTACAAGAGGCTTCAGCTGCTGAGAGATTGCTCAAATGCCTGAGGTATGCACAAATCTTTCAATCACATGACTCTTTCTATCTCGCATTGCAGAAGAAATGCAGCATGAGTCTCCCTTCGTAATTAGGATTTCGTATTGAGTGAAGTTCTGATACAGGAGCCTTGTACAGTTTTTAGCACAAATGAATGAATGATCAAGTTGGATTTTTAATTTTATGCTTGTTTCCTTTATATGGACTGACTCACATTCTGTTATCCTTTTGCAGCATATATTCGGAACTTCAAGCTGCTGAGGTTGGTGACCAGCATCTAGCAATCGACAAGTTCTTCAGGCTTCAAGAGGATTTGACTCAGACGCAGCAGATCTTCCGGTCACTAACAAATGTCATCCCGCCGATAACACCACCACACGATGAACACAACCCTCATTTTGTGATGGAAGGACACAAGCTGGCATCAGACAGAAAGCAAAATGCAGCATCATGGATAAAAGAAGCTTTAGCATCCGATCTCACCCCAGTTTCAGCCCGCTTGGAGGCCATCAACAACGGCAACCAAGAAGCCAGAAAGTCTAACAAATCCAGCCACAAGAGTCACAAAGCCAAAGGCGGGATAGTGGTTATAAGGAAGCAAAAGAGTAGTAGTCCCAACATGGTGTTTGAGATGGCGCAACACGGGAGCAACCAACCAAGCTGGGTCAAGGGAAGTGCATTGCCAGTTTCCATGGAGCTCGCCAGCTCGCTGAGCGAAGAATGCAGGACTTGGTTCTTCACCTACGTTGAGGACTATTTGGAATGGGTTAGCAGAAGGATCGTCTCTGCTGAGAGATCGGATGGGCAGGCAGCCGAAATGATGTACCAGATCAAGAGAGTGAATGAGTTCCTGGACAGAAGATGTCTTCAGGATGGATCCATGTTGAAAGATTATGAATCGGAAGCTTGTGGGAGGATTAGGAACAAGATTTGTGGGATTCTACTCAAACATGTGGAGAAAACTTCCCTGAACTCCATGCCTGAAGGTTGGCAGTAAAGTAAGTGAGAGGGTAATGGCCATATCCTTTTGTAGGAAGGGTTTCATAACCTGAAACATGTAACTGGAGAAATCCGTATATCATGTTTCCTTGTAGAAGATACTCTTTTGTACTCATACCAGAATTTTTCTCTTTTTTTCCATTCTAAGTCCGAAAAAGATCATCTACGGAATGAATCAGTCCTCCTTCCTCCAGTAAGCTCGTCAAAAGTTTCATTTCTCACAGATATTTGGTCATTTTTTATTTGCTTGAGTCTGGATCAGTTCGGACTGGGCTTACACTTCTAGTTCATTGACTGATAGATTTGGGCTTAAAGCCCATGATGTCCTTTAACGTACAGTAGTACGTGTGTGTTTAAGGGGTAAATGTCACATTTGGTCACTGGAATTACTAAATTGTGTCGCGTTTAGTCACTAGAAAAAATTAATATCAATTTTGGTCACTCGAATTTGAAATAGATCACCTTTAGTCACTCTTCATTAGTCCCCGTCACTCAATTGCTTAAGTGGCTAACAGAAGTGATAACTCACCCTTTTTTAACCCACAATGTCACCAAACCCAACCCGCCACGTCACTCAAATGCAAAAAAAAGTTTGGATTTAACAACAAAACAATCTAAAATTGTAGATCCGACAACATTGAATTGCAAATTCATCAACAAATTGACAGAGCTTTCCCACCAACCATTTGGATGGCGGCGTATGTTGCTCTGGTCCAGGGCCGGCCAATGATATTTGGAGGCCCTGTTCAAAAATTTAAAATGTGGCCCTAAATATTTTCTCCGAAGATTTATTAAAAATAAAATTTATTAAATAATAGTAAAAAATACTTAAGTTAAAAAAAAATATTACAAAAGAAATAATATCATTTATCGTTGTTTAAAAAGTAACAACAGTCTCGTATTATTTTAAATAATATCATCTATCTTTCTTCTAATCTCACGCTTTTGAGGAAAAGATCCATTAAAATAATTTATTTTTATAAGAAAATAAGAAATGCTTTTCATGATGATAGATCATTTATTATTAAAGAAAAAAGTTAACAAATAGAAAAAAGGCCAAACCCATTTAAAGGTCAAAACAGAATCTTAATAGTATAGCTCTAGAGGCCACTCCCAAGTCCCAACCAAAATGCAAACTTAAAAGAAGAAGGAAAAGGATCCATTATAGCAGATTTAAGGCCCTCAATTTTTATTTTATATTTTATAATCCCTTGAATTCCTGAACTCAAACTTAATTTGGGGCCAAAAAGCCTACATGGGAGTCACGAATATATAACCAATTTGGGGCACCAGAATCCCAACAAAAGAAGCTATGTCCAGAAATCTTCAAATGGGCCAAGTGGTGAAGGCCCCCAAAGTTTAGGTAAAGAAAAATGCTCTAAATCAGGCCCAATAAATTTACATCCATGTTATATAAACGTTTTTCTAATTTTGTAGAGTTGGTGGGCCTATAACATAATATATTATATGGGCCGGGCATGCTCTGGTCGCAGAGGAGATGGACGGCAGGGCGGAGGCTAGTCTGCAATGGAGATTAGCAAGGCGGAACTCTCGGTCAACAGCGATGATTCACGAGCGGGGAGAAGATGCAGGGACCGAGACTCTCAATTAGCAGCGGGGATTCCGACGGAACGCAACGTCTAAGGAGAAAAGACAACGAAGTGGGTAGATTCCGATCGTCCTCGATGACCAAATGTGGCATTAACCTATGTTCAAGTAAAACAAAAAATTTGTTCCATTATCATAGAGAAAGGATTTCTATCACTCGAATTTTTCATCGATTTGCTCGATTAGGGTTTGGTCACAGGAAAGGGAGATTTCTGAAAAGAAGCCGATCGGTCTCGCGCTCGACCCCGATCCAAACATCTTGAACCAGTAATACCCCGAGGCCCCGAGCAGCAAGTGGTGGTTTGCAACAACTTGTACTATATTGTCACCCGAAGCTTATTGGACAACTCTCCCCGCCTCCCGAGTGGCACATGGAAGTTGGAGTATATTGACGCGGCGGTGTTTATGGCACAAATTTGGGATATGAGGTTGTTTTCAACGTGGGAAATGTTTCCTAATTTTGTCTCCTGTGAGGATTTGTTTCCTGGGTTTCGGAGTATATCATAGTTGAAGATGTGTAAGTGTATCTGAGGTGGGTTTGCATTGCGATGCAATTCGTTAGTTGGAGCAGCTTGTGGATAATCCTATGACGTTTCGGTTACCGAAATATAGTGGCGGATCCATAAATTTTACTTAGTGGTATTATAATTCAAAATTTATATTAAGAATAATTATTTTTAATGCCAAAATGTTGGGAAATTGATAATTTAGTTTTTAATGTCCTGAGAAAGAAAATTTGAGAAATTTGGATTTATAGTTGGACTTTTGTTTTAGCTTATAGTTACATTTATGTTTTTACGGACTAACAAATTATTTGTAGTATAATGAATTAACATTTTCTTTTTTTCTTAATTGTAGTGTCCCCGAGTGTGAACCACATATACTATTATTTATTATCTTTTCTTTTCTCTAAATTCAAACTAACTTTCTCCTAAAATTTTAGGGGTGTCACGAGACATCCTTAAAATGGACTTCCAATCACGAAATGGAATGAAGTGGAGCCATATCAATGCACTATGCAACTGGGGGCGGTGGTAGGAGGATACATGGGTCGGGGTGGTTTCGAGTCTAGTCATTTTAATCATACGGTTCATATACTTCACTTTTAAAATAAATACTAAATTCAAGATCACCCAAAAACTTAGAGCCTTAAGGTTTGTTTTTTTAGGCTGTCAGGTGGGCTATACTTTTTAGTAAAACTAAAAACTCAACCCAACCCAATACTAAAAAAAATTATAAGTAATTAAATTTTCAAGCAAATGAACCAAAGAAAAAACATCAAAATGCATAGAAGTTGTTGCTTGGACCTTGACGAAGAGCAATTTGTTTCAACATATGTCTACTATTTTTCATCAACATTTACCAAAATAAAACTAAATACATTATTCATTATAAACTGATGCATCGATAATATGTTAATCTTCTAAAATTCTATATAAAAAATAATGATATTTTCCATAAAATAACATGGCGAGAGTAGGATATGTAATTAGATAGGACTCCAATTTAGTAAAAAAAATAATTTGATTAGTAAGTGTGGTTAGGAATGTATGACAATTGACAAATGAGAATCAGGTGTTACATAAATAGTAAATTTTACAAGTATTGTGAAACCATATCGAAACAGTGGGCGACATGATATTTTATAATAAATCGTGGTTTAATTGTGGTTCAACTTATTCATACCGTTAGCCCCCACCTTTCATTTTCGTACCGATACTCTGTATTCCCGGTTGAACCGGACGGTACAGTTTCTAAAACATTGAAATATTTTAAGGGGTTGTTTGGAAGTTGTGATTGTTAAATAAATGTATTGTTGAGAATGCATGTATAATATTATACATGTATTGTCGAATTTGATGCATTGTAGAATATAATGTTTGGTATGTGTGATTGTGTATGTCGCATCAGCTAAAAACTGAGACAAAACAATCTCAACTCAACTATCTCAATAATCACAACTAAAAGTTGAGATATAACAATCACTCAAAAATGAGTGATAGTTTCTGTCACATCACAGAAACAATCCATGTATTGTTTCTGACTTTTTGCTAAAAAAACAAAAAAACAATACATTGTAAACAATACATGCATAATGACAATCTCAACAAAACAATCGCAACTTCCAAACGATCCCTAAGAGATTTATTATATTTTTGTTTACAATAATCAAACTAATTCTTATAAGGAAAAAAAGTCAAAACAATATCCCTACCTACCAAATTGAAACACCTCATTAACAGCCACCTGGAAAGCGTAAACCACCCGTTTCCTCATATTTTCATTTCTCATTATCGATGAAATTTTGTTTTGTTTCTTTTATAGAATGTGGATGAAATTTTTTTTTATCAAGGAAAAGAACAGTTTCGGAGTGGTTAAGAAAATGTGATCACTTCCCACAATTCCCATCAGTTGGATTCTCAGACGTTGATGTTCCTTACTCTCTTTTGCCTTGTCAAAAGGCTAAAACACACACAATTCTTTCCTTCCGATCCAACAGAGAGAAATACAAGGGCGAAAGAGAGAGAGAGAGAGAGAGAGAGAGAGAGAGCGAAGGCGGAAAATAGGCGATAGAACTTCATTCCAGACGCATTCCATTTGTAACACTTTTTCTCAAACACCTTGCGGACAAAATTTTCCAAGCTCCTTCTTCCTCCTCCTCCTCCTCCCCTCCTTTGCATCTTAGATTTTGTTTCCCCATTTTGCACTAGAGACAAAAAGGGTTTCCACTCCCCCAGAGCATTATTCATTCATTCGCTCCCCCTTCCTGGAAATTCCATTTTTAATTTATGCTTGGAAAAATTCGATCTTTCCCCGTTTAGCTCAATCTCTTGATCTTAGCAAGCAAAACCCGGAGGAGAAAAAAGCTTGTCGATTCTCGGGTTGTTTTACTGTGGGGGAAGGAAATATGATGCAGATGCGAAGACCGCCACGGGTTTCGATGAGTCGCTGCTTAGGGGTTTTCTTATTTATTGGGTGCTTTCTGGTGCCGGCTTCTCTGGCGAGATTCATCGTCGAGAAGAACAGCCTGAGAGTGACATCGCCGGAGAAGATAAAGGGCACCTATGACACTGCGATAGGCAATTTCGGGATACCGAAATATGGGGGTAGCATGGCGGGTGTTGTGGTGTACCCAAAGGACAACAAGAACGGCTGCAGGGAATTTGCGGACTTTGGGATTTCTTTCAAGTCCAAGGCTGGAGCCTTGCCCACTTTCGTTTTGGTGGATCGTGGAGGTAACCCTCCCAATTTCTGTTGCTTACTTCTGATTGCATGCTTGTCATCAAATATTTTGAGTTAGGTAAACGCTGTAATTGGTTCGGAATTTGCCCTTTTCATTTTAGGGTTAATTTTAGAAATGGGCTCATTGTATTTGGAGCTTTATCCTTGTCCGTTGTTTCTTATGTTGCGTTTTGTTTTTTGTTGAATGCGCAAATTTTCAGCTCATATCATCTGTTTTTGATACACACGGTCTCCCTTTCTTCTTTAGCTCTTTGTTCTCGGGCTTGATTGGTCTGTCTTCTAGGTGCTGCTATACAGCTGCGCTTAAGTTCTTGCTGATATTGACGAGCTACAGAGCTTGAGCTTATTTTGGTTGTTTCGAGTCGCTTACAACAGCACATGTTTACGATTGATTTGGGTGCATGTTGGAGTATAAACTTGGTCAGCTTTCTCATGGTTATTGAGATGCAGTCCAAGGCTGTTTGGTATTGTCTCGATAATATCTAGGTTCAGTTGTAAGCACTAAACAGTGTGCCTTATCTATGTGGCTAAGTTGGTAAGACATGCTAAACCAAGCATTTTGATTCCCTTTCCGAGTACCCATGAGTCCTGCTTCTTAAGGATTGTGTTTCAATCAATCTACTTGGTTTGCGTCAGTTGTGCATTTCTTGTTTGCCAAGTGTATAAGTTCCTTCGAATATCCTCTTAGGCCCTCATGGAGGCACTAGTTTTATGCATGTAGTCAAATATAGATTGGGGATGTGCGCTCCAATCATACATACTTTTATCCAAACCCAAACCCATGGACGCAGAAATGTGTCGTGAGCTTTCAATGCTTCTGGGAAATGAGTGTTCATCTGGAGATCCCTGAATGTCAAGTGTAAACCATTAAATCCCCTGCTGAATCCATGGGCAGGCATTTCAGTCATCTCGAGTTGTGCTTATCTTGCCTAGATGTCTTGTTTCTTGGACATTTGTTATATAAGTTTCCTTATTATGTATATAGATGTCAGAGATAATACTGAAACGGTTGCAAATGGTTAGACTCTGCTACTCTGGTAGCGAAACAGTTACTGATGGATTATTTGATCTAGCTGCGTTTATGGTCTACACAATCTGCTATGCTTATAGTCTTTTGCCTTTTCACTTACCTGGTTGTCAATATAAAGTGAATCTCAAATACTGAAGATGCAGCACTTATCATTGATTGATATGATTGGTTATGGATATATTACCAGGTCTGCTTAACTTTTGTGAGAATAGAAGCTTCAGATATCTTTATGCTATATTTGGCATCTGCGGGTGATGTAGTTTTGGTACTTACTATCCTGTTTGTTAATGCTCGAGTGCCTGGTATTTCATATTTTAATCATCGACTTTTTACAAGCCACAGACGCGTTCCTTTGCCGGAGTGGTTGATTAAGATACCTCTCTATCCACTTGTTTGGTTTGATCAAGTGATTACCCTTGGATACAAAATTGTTGGTCTGTTTTGGACTGCATTTTGTATTATTTACCCAGCTTGTAATTGTTAACATATAGTTCATTTTCTACCCGGTTAAACTATCGTTTCATGTTGTTATTGGTATTGTATTGAAATTAAGGCTTTTTACCAGTTTATGTTTCTCAGAGTAGAGTTGCATTTTATGTTCCATTGACCTTTTGTTTTTAGTTGTCCGAAATAATGATGAATGTTGCTCATTGTTTTTTTCAGATTGCTTCTTTGCGCTTAAGGTTTGGAATGTTCAGAAAGCAGGGGCTTCGGCTGTCTTGGTTGCTGATGACATTGATGAAGCATTGATAACCATGGACACACCTCAAGAAGATGGTTCATCGGCAAAATATGTTGAGAACATAACAATACCTTCTGCTCTTATTGAGAAAAGCTTCAGCGACATACTGAAGAAATCACTGAGCAATGGTGATATGGTGAATGTAAATCTTGATTGGAGAGAAGCTGTTCCTCATCCTGATGATCGAGTGGAATACGAGTTGTGGACCAACAGTAATGACGAATGTGGTGTCAAATGTGATATGTTGATGGAGTTTGTGAAGGATTTCAAGGGTCCAGCTCAGATACTTGAGAGAGGCGGGTACACTCAGTTCACTCCTCATTACATAACGTGGTACTGCCCACAGGCATTTACGTTGAGCAGACAGTGCAAGTCACAATGTATAAATCATGGGAGATATTGTGCTCCTGATCCTGAACAGGATTTCAGTATTGGCTATGAAGGGAAAGATGTCGTTCTCGAGAACTTAAGGCAACTGTGTGTTTATAAAGTAGCAAATGAGACTCATAGACCCTGGACATGGTGGGACTATGTAACCGATTTCCAGATCAGATGTCCAATGAAAGAGAAGAAGTACAACAAGGAGTGTTCTGATAGTGTTATTAGATCTCTTGGTATACTCATATTTCCTCTCTCATGTATGCCTCTGATTAGAAATCATTATGTTGGAGAAAGTGAATGACTTCATATGTTGTTTACTGTATCTGTTCCAACTTTGCAGGACTTGATATGAAAAAGATTGAGAAGTGTATGGGAGATCCAGATGCTGATTCTGATAATCCTGTTTTGAAAGAAGAGCAAGATGCCCAGGTATCTTTTTAATGTCTGCTTACAGGACTGGTTTGATGAAAATTGTGATGTTGGAATATCTCATGCCCAATTATTAGTGAAACATGTCTAGTTAACTGACAAAGTGTTTATTGTAGGTTGGCAAAGGAACTAGGGGTGATGTAACTATACTGCCTACTCTTGTTGTCAACAATCGACAATATCGAGGTCTGATACTGATTTGCTTCTGTTCATTTAATGAATTTGCTTTCTCTGCTGTCATTGTTTTCCTTATAATTTCCCAAAGCTTCTTTGCTTCATAATTTACAGGAAAGCTGGCGAAAGGTGCTGTTCTGAAAGCCATATGTTCTGGTTTTGAGGAAACAACTGAACCAGCTGTTTGCTTGACTGGCGGTAAGTTTCTTAGGTTGTGGGTAGCGAATTAACTGTTAGTTTGAGGCTGCTCATTGGTAAAAGTTGGTAAATACCTGAGATTTGCGTGCCCCGGGATTGAGTGCTAGGAGTGGAGATTCACCTTGAATACATAGGTTATGCTATTGTGGTGCTCCATTACAGCTTAATTATTTTACTAGGAGATTATTGCCAACTATGCTATGAAAGGTTCTCTAGTATCAATGAGAATCTGAGCATGACAGCTTTACATAGGTTATGCTAATGTGGTGCTCCATTACAGCTTAATTATTTTACTAGGAGATTATTTGCCGACTATACTAGGGAAGGTTCCCTAGTATCGATGTGAGAATCTGAGCATCACAGCTTTTCTGATGCAGATGTTGAGTCAAATGAATGCTTAGAGAATAATGGTGGTTGCTGGAAAGATAATGTTGCAAACATCACTGCTTGCAAGGTATGTAAAGATGGCTGTACTTCTGTTGGTATTAGGATTTGTAGTACTGATGCGCTTCCGTTTCTCACATTCTACATTTTAGGATACATTTCGTGGGAGGGTATGTGAATGCCCCCTTGTTGACGGTGTGCAGTTTAAAGGAGATGGATACAGTCACTGTGAAGGTATTTCTTACTCCTGATATTTTTATTGGCATTGTTTATTATCTGCTATAATCATTATTCTGTAATTTTGAAGACTGTAGATCTATGCTGGTTCACTTAATTGGCTATAATTCTCTTGTGCATGTGTGTCGAGTTTTAGTGGAACTTTGGAAGCATCAGTGGCCCTTGTGATGTAATCATATTCATAACTCTGTTGCACCTAAAACCCAAGGGGTTGGCTTAGTGGTATTGTTGGTATGATAACATCCACCACACCATAGGTTGAAACCATGGGGCTAACAATAACCTTATTAAATAAAAACTCTGTTGCACCTAAAACTAGGTCCTGCCAACATATACCCCCATTACCATGACTGGTTAAATCAATAGCTTTGACCATCTGGTTCTGTGTTGTATGTGCTTAGGCTTGGAAGGAACTCTTTCTTTCCCTGTTAGATGGTTGGTCTCTGTTGTTAAGTCACATATTTTTTGAAGGGTTTGTACATTTACTTCCGTACTTTGTTTCAGTGAGTGGACCGGGAAGGTGCAAGATAAACAATGGTGGATGTTGGCATGAATCTCGAGAAGGACATGCATTCTCTGCCTGTTTGGTTGGTATCATGTTTTAAAATATCACGTTCTGTCCTGATTTGTCTTCTTCAGATATTTAACAGTGATTGTTATCAGGATGTTGATGGGGGTAAATGTCAGTGTCCTTCTGGATTTAAGGGCGATGGCAAAAATAGTTGTGAAGGTAAGATATTCTTGCATTCTGGTTTTGAAATTCTGTAGGAAAGCATGTGAATGTGGCGGCTACATCGGTTTCTTTAGATTCTTGCCTCAATGGGCTATGGTATCTCTCAGCATCAAGGCTTGGTTGGTAGCCCAGCAGCTGAACTTGCATTCCTCAGTGTGGTATTTTCATTAATGGGTGTCACCTGTTTTCGCAGATATTGATGAATGCAAGGAAAAGAAAGCATGTCAGTGTGCTGAATGCAGCTGTAAGAATACTTGGGGAAGTTACGACTGCAGTTGCAGTGGAGGTCTGCTTTATATTAGAGACCATGATACCTGTATAGGTGAGTTTGTTTGCAGCAAAACTAGAAACTCAAACCGCTATGAAACGTCCATTTTGTGGGCAGCTTATTCTCTCTATCCTTGATGAGCTTACTGCAGGTAAGGCAGCGGCTAGTAACGAAGTGAGATCTGCATGGGCTGCTGTTTGGGTAATCTTTATTGGCTTGGGAATGGCTGCTGGTGGTGGATATCTCATCTACAAGTACCGATTGAGGGTAAACATGATGCATTAATTATGAGTTCCTCTGAGTTCTGATTTGTGTCGTCGAGAATAATTCTCGAAGAAGGATTACGTTTTGGGTTTTCGCCCGGTAAAGTAACAAATCCTAACTTGGGTGGTATGTTTTCTTGTTTTTGCAGTCGTACATGGATTCGGAGATCAGGGCGATAATGGCACAGTACATGCCTCTGGAGAGTCAAGCAGAAGTGCCGAATCACCTCGGTGACCAACACGCTTGAAGAGTGTTGCAGAGGCGATCGAGGTGAATCCATGGCGTCTAATAGATTACTCGGGAAACTATTTGAGACCAACCAACCAGGGGGCAATGTGTGGTTTTATACGCTGAGAGCCCTTGTATGTTCATCAGTCAACTCAAGGAACGAATATTGGGTGTCTGTAATGTTGACAAATAAAGGGAATGGTGATGTCACAAAGTTGTTGCTGTTGTTTGTTAGTAGTAGTAGTAACTAGTAAGTAGTAGACATGTAACAACGTTTGCTATTAGGGGGATTGGGAGAGACTAACTCGGATTTTGTTTTTGTTTATTTCCCCTTTGACGAGTTTTTTTTTTTTTACCTTTCTGCCGTCTCCATAACCCAGTCAGTCTGCATTTTATCATATGGTGATATTACTGTAATCCACTTTCCTTACCTTTCGTGTAGAGCAGAAGAGCTGATAGCAATACTATTATGAAATAAGCTGACTACATATTACTCAAACCTGCATCTGATTCAAGCGGAAGTCCATGGTCCCCTGAATTCTACCTTGTTAGCAGCGCAAGGACTTGATTCCTAACTTACAGTAGTTACACAGATTGTAATTATAATTTGGCTTCTGGTTTCGAATGGAATACAAGGCACTGCTTATTATAAATAAAAAAAAGGGTAAACAAATGTGGATCTGCATAACCACTATAAATCAATCTAAGCAGATGGTGTAAATTAAAAAAAAAAAAAAGGAATAAATGAATCAAAGCCGAATGGATTGGAACTTCCTCTCTCGTTCGAAATTACAATTTGGACAAAATGGAACTCTCTCTACTCTTTGTCGCCAAGTCCTTACTTCTGCACAAACCAAGCATCCATGGAGTTGTTTCTCTAAAACTACGAACATCTTGATACTCCAATGTCCATCCCATTGTAAGCAATCGGTGAATACATCCAGTGATCATCAGAGCTCAACAACTGCACCACAACACAAAAACAGAAAACAGATAAATTATTAATTACCCATTTGGCAAAAGAAACACAGCATTATGTTATGTTAATGTATATATTTCCCCCACCTTGATTTGGAGCTGCAAGAACTTGACATACTGGACAGCTTCTTCAAGCATGGTGCTGATATCCACTTTTGTACCATTGGGGACAAGGGTCTGCAGAACCTTCAGCCTCTCGTTGATTCTTTCTCGACGTTTCTGTAAATCAAAAGGGGGAAGAAGAAAAAAAAGTGTTTAGATCAAAGCCAGGCAAGTGATCAACAAAAAGAATCTAGCAGATTTGTTGCAGCTAGATTAGATTTCCCTTACTTACCCTGGCATAGAGGCTCTGTGGATCAGTGGCTGCACCCCTGCTGGCTCTTGTCTTGCCATTCAAGCTCACAGTAATGGAACCAGTACTAGCAGATGTTGTTGGCACAGCTTCTCCTCCTTCATCAATCTTCTCATCCGCTGCTGATCCACCAAACAAGGACTCATCCGAATTGCTCGTCGTTGTAGCTGCAGCACTCTTCACATTATTGCTCTCTTCCTCCATCTTGGCACCAGCTGAAGAATTCTGCTTCTTCCCCACTTTCTTTGACCTCACATTCTTCTTGGCTTTCTTGGGCTGCAAGTCGATTTCGCGTATTTCGTAAGAAAAATGAGTGCATACAATGCAACCAGCATCGCTTAATCGAAAAATTGTGTACAAGTTAAAAACAACTTACCTCTCCTCCAGTGGCCCTTGATCTCTTCTTTGTCCCCTTGCTAGGTTTCTCTTCAGGGTGCCCTGCATCTAATATGTCAGGCTTCTGCTGATGCTTCTGGTGTTCATTGTTCGCAATGTTCAGTATCAAGGTCTCGTCGGATTGTGCCAAGTAAGAGGTGGTACTCATTGGAATGTGGTTGCCTTCGTTGCAAGCAAGAGGAGGCAGAGAAGAAGAATCAAGCAGCTGATGGAGAGCCATGGATGTGTCTTGACTGGAAGTTCCTGTGGAGTAAAAACCATGACTGCTGCTGCTGCTGCTGCCACTGCCTTGTGATGTTGCTGATGATGAAAGATGCTGACTTGAAGTATTCCCAGCTGCTGCTGCTGCTGCTGCTGCTGCTGACATGTCGAATGGTGCAGATGATGTGGAGAAGAAGTCAGAATCTAGACCGATGGAAAGCAATTGTGCCATGAAATCAGCTTCATCATGATCATTTGTGTGCATCATTCCACTCATTAGAGAGCTCCAATCCATACAAGCTAAGGATTCGACTTGCTCCATGCCTCACTGAGATATAAATCGGTTTTTTGTAAATGCTTCTTTTGGTATAGGAGGCTCTACTCAATATATAGATGAGCTTTGGTCTCTGTCTCTCTGTGTCTGTATTGAAAGAAAGATGAAGCAAAAAGAGGCCTATTTATACATGTATATGTAAGGTTGCATGGCAAAGAGCTAGAAGCCAAGCTAAGAAAGAAATCAAAGGAATGTCTTCAATCAAGAGGCTCAAGGAGGGGTGGAAATATTCCAGTTGACAAATATATCCCATTAATTAATCAAACAGTTGTTCACATTCAATAATTAACGTGCCTACAAATAAACACAGAAAAATGAAACTAGAAGAGCAATTTAAATGGGGCCATGTACAGCTCATTTTTATAAAGTTTTATTTTTTTGTCCCTATTTGTTGGACGGGAGTCTCCTAAAATATTTGGCCATGTGGTTGTGCTGCAAATATATAGTATAAATGAAATGGTCTTCTTAAATCAGTATCAAGTGCTTCAAATTGTGCCCCTAAAAAAAGTGCTTCAAAATGTTTGTAACTACTTTACTTTGGGACTGGCTGCAGAACTCCGGAAAAGACACTCAACCAAGGATTGAAATATCGTAACGTATCGTACCGGTGGTTCAACCAGAAAATACTGTATTGTATCGTTGGTATTAAGCGGTTGAACACGATTTTAGCATAAAATATCCTACCGCAGACTTTTCCGATACAATCTCCGGTATGGTATTTCAATCCTTGCACTCAACTAACGCTGGGAGAGGAAGAGAAGTATGATGCGTTGCGTACCGGTGACCAAGCAATGGGACAACTATAGGGGTTAAATCTTAAATGATAGGTTTGTCCATGGTAATTTGTAAGTCGTTGTGATTTGTCGAAAATGGTATATTTCTTTAACTCGTGGACAACCAAATCTCCGTGGAGATTATTGGTCCAGACAAAAAAAAAAAAAAATAACACCCTCTTGTAACACTCCTGGACTAAAAACCCATAAAATCAGGATGATTTGAGATTTATGGGAATTGAATATGACACAATTATATAGCAATTAGATTATACTTTTTAAGTATCTTCATAACAACAATACCATCAAAGTTGATATATCACAAGACAAACTATAAGAGAAAAACAAGAAAACTTGAAATTTAAAGGAAAGATGAAAATCTCTGTAAGGTAAGTCAAATCTAAGAAATATATATGCAGAACATTTCTCAAATCTACGTGAGAACAATAACCCAATAAACTTCTCATCCATGCTCCACCCTTTGTACTAATTTTAACCCTAATACTAGCAAACATATCTTTTTAATTGTTTTTTTTAAATATCTATTAAAATTGTAATCCTCTAATTATATATGATGATGTCATTACTCATTAGCAATGATTCATCAGGTCGATCGATTCCTGGAAGAGGTAAATCATTTGATAAAAGTGGTAGACCGTTTAGTGGAAGCGCTAGACCGATAAACTTATCCCAACTTCGCAAAGAACCAAAACAAACTGAATCCAGCAAAAAAAAAAATATTCTTATCGCCTCTCATAATTTATGCTCCTCTCCTACCACCAGCTTCCTCCTCTCCTCCTCCACTAATGGGACCTCAGTTGCCTTCTCCTCACTGCAACATCAGCACGCCAATCGCACCCTCTACGCACTTAATGTAAGCTTCTGCGTTGAATATTCTAATTTTGTTAACCTAAAAAGCTTGTGGCGATGCAAGGAATACGAGGAGAGTGATTCAGAACCCTAGGTATAGTCCTCACACATGAGGAGGAGCATGGATGGGAGTACTAAGGCCAACATGCGGAGGAACGACATCAGATCGTCGAAGAAGAAGCAGCACAAAGATATGCGAAATCCGACCCAATTCGACCCATTACTATTCGTACTCTCCAATACTATTAAGAATCAATTCGCCCTTGTGATTTGATTTGTTGGGGTTAGAAAATCTAAAAATAGATTTTTTTTGAAATATATGGTAATAGATTTTGTAAATATAAAGTGGATGTAAGGTAATATAAGGATAGATTGTGATGTTTAGATTTCATATTTTTTTAAATGAGTAAGGTGAATTATTTTAAAGACAAAGATACGGGAAAGAGACAGAAATTGGGGTTTGCTGGGTTTTTCTTCTTGTTTGCTCTTGTACAGTTTTGTTGTTGTTTCTCTTCTTTTCGTTCTAAACCATTATAAAAAAAGACAGACGTGGGGTGGTGCTATATTAGCTAGCACAGGGTTGCTATTTGCACTAAACAACGTTGTTTTCTAATGGGAAACGCCATTAACAAATTCTACGGAACAGGAATAGAAGTTGACGAGCACATATATCCTTCCTGCTATGTTTCCTCAGTTCATGTCTTTTTGTCTCTCATGTCTGTTTTTGTCTTTTTCTATCAAAATCAAAAGACAAAAGTATAATGGAGATGATCACCAGGAGTATCCGAAATATTGTATATTCCAAAAGTATAGCAGTCTGACATATAACTCACGAGGAGTATATTTCATCTTGTGATTAATCTAGTTGTGTGGTCTCGTCGAACCTACGATAATCATCAATATTCATCACACACATATGCTTTGATCTCTTCAAACATGTATGAGCAATGATAAAAACGGCATATTTGCAACTCGAGACTCGTAGCAGAAGCAGACCAAAAATCACAAATCACTATGATACCCGAAAGCGGGATAGGAATTCCCTTAATTGAATTTGATTTATCGGATAGTAACATTTGTCAAGAACCAGTTGCTTCCAATAACTCGAGTAGTTGGGAGAGGTTTAATTCTGGATCATATACCACATACTAACACACCCCCCTCAAACGAAAGCCACCATATATGGGCTTGAAGTTTGCACAGGCATCAGACACCATGTGCTAACAGGGGGCTCTGATACCATGTCAAGAAGACAAGAACCAGTTGCTCCCAATAACTCGAGTTGTTGGGAGAGGTTCAATTCTGGATCATATACCACGTACTAACAACATTCTACTAATCGACAATACCCCAGGTTAACACAAACTTTCATTCTAACGTGTGATTTAATTCTTAATTAATTTTCATATGAAGTAGTAGAGGCTTTGAAATTTCGGCCGGCCATGGCACGATCTCTGGATTGAGGGAATTAATTTTCATAGTAGTAGAGGCTTATGATGAAAAGGATTATTATGACAAAAATAATATCTTCGGTCATGAATCGTTGAAAGAGAATTGTCGATGGAACTTTTAATTTCTGTAATCCGATTCTGTTCTGATTATTTAGCTGCTGATCATGTTTACATGGCTAATACTACATTTTAAGTCAGGGTTTGAAGTGCTAGACAGCCAATTAACATTGAATAATGCATAGTTTTAAAGCTTTAATTAGTTTCGCCGGCCGCACGCCCTGTCATATGGTTATATGATTATGGACGAATTATGTGTCATCAAAGCTGGCAACTGTTCCTACTTGGTATTCTTTTTGTATGATCATATGAATCAGGGATCTCAATTCTTTATCGTGTTGCCCAGTTAGCAGCAAAGCAAGAGAGTGATTTATTACGGGTATAGATGTACTGTCGTTAAGTTAAATATATATATATGTGGTGGCTTTTATCGTACCTTGGATAAAATCTAGGGTACAGCATACTCCGAGTATTGGGAATCAAAGGAGTTGAAGATGGAATTATGTTTACTTGTTTAGTGTCTCAAGTTGTCCTTATTCTCTTGATTTTCTACTCTATTGGGCTAAAATAGTATCATATTGGATGCACCACAATTTTTTTTTTTTACATTGCCTGATTATGAGAAACCTTTTTCACGAATTGTGCTCAGCGGCGGTGGATCCAGAACATAGTAGAGCACTGGGCCGCATTTCGTTAGAACATTAGATACCATAAAAAAATATTCATAGTTTTTTTACAATCAATTGTACACGTCAATCTTTTAATATAGCGAATTTATCAATAATGGAGTATACATCCATACCAATAGCATATTACTCTCTTTCAAATAAAATAGTTAACCAATCTGCGAGAAATTCATCGCTCATTTTGTTGTGCAAATCATTTTTCACCTTTTCATTGTTGAAAAGATTCTCTCCATAGTAACTGTTCAAATGGACAATGTCAACATTAGACAATTCAATCGACTAATCAATTTGTATTCTGTGTCCATCCCTATTTTCACCAGTTGCTCTAGTAATTTTTCAAGGGAACCAACCTCATATTTCTTGTCTTTTACGTTTTAGACTTTTAGGTTTCATCATTTGTTTTTCTTTAGACGAGGGTCATTGGAGCTAGAATTTCTAGGCTAAATTTAGAGTTGTGATTTGAATATGTTCATCTGACTCAGTTTCCTAATTATACACAATCTTATTATAAAATAACATTGGGCCGAATGACTAAAATCGGTAAACTCACAGGGACTATACTAACTTCGGATCCAGAGGAGGGCTGGGTCGTGGCCTGGGGTGGCCACCCCCTAGATCCGCCACTTATTCGTACTTAAATAGTAAAGATTCTCACTAAATTATGTTATGTTTAAGAAAATCAATTCAGAATAGCAACTCAAATTCGAATTGAGATGATTTACCAGAAAATAAACCTACTTTTTCCACGAAATGGCATAATCCAACCTACTTGTACCGTATCATCAGTTGAGCATATTGTGCAATCACATAGTGTAAGCAACTCAGTAAGATCTTTTTAAATGTTGTGGTCATGTGGATGTTAGTTTGTCTCATTTTAATGCAGGTTCTTTTATCTCTCTATAACCAATAGAAATCCAGATCTCTCTCGGAAAGACAATTTAACTAACTTGACTATTGGGGAGGGTTAAAACTTAATAGACTCTGCTTCCACCTTTCTTTTACTGAAGAACTTGAGCACAATCTTACAAGACTTCATGAATACATTTTACTACTTAAACTCCAACCTTTACTTTCTTTGGCTAAAATAATCTCATACTAAATTAAGGACTAGGACTCCATAATCGGAGACTTCCGTGTTACAATTACGATATCCTGATAGAATAAGAGCCTAAACCAGGTATGAAAACTTTTAGAGATGTGTTGATGATTATGATCATCAATAAACCTATTCATAAATCATATCAATTGGTAGGAAACTCCCATTATATCGATTATGTGATGGATAAAAGGATTCAGTTAAGTTATATGCATCCTAATACAAATCTGCATTGAGCGTAACTTATGAGAAAAAAGAAACTTACATATTCCGACCAACAGGCTGGGTTCAAGCTAGTTGAGAGAAAACTGAAGCTCTCCAATCCTTGACCTAATCCGATCACCCAATTCAACTCTAAACAGACCCGAAAAATCGAAACAGGGAAAAATGACAAGAAAACAGAGGGGCTGAAGGTGCCTTAAAACGGAGAAAACTGGGCAGAAAGCTGAAGATTATCCGCCGATGAGAGTAATTTGCTACCGAGCTTTTTACCACTTACAATCGCCTCCTTTATCTCCCACAGTTCATCCGTATCACCCATACACAAGCAGCAAACATTGGAGGAGACATGCGTAAAGGAAGGAACGAAAAAGAAGGTGCCATTCTAATTGGCTAGGTGTATAGCAATACAGCTGACCGTCGTTGAAGTTCATCAAACCTTTGGAAAAAGGCTTACTGCTGCTCGTCACCTGGCTCGTCCCCAAAACCCCGTTGTGCGATTCTGTAGTACAGTATTCCCATGGTCGCCATGCATGCCCTGCAGGTTATTATAACATACTTCTTGTTTAGTTCATGTCATTATACCTTCATAGCACCAGTCGAAGAAGAAAAAAAAAGAACTGCTAGCTATTCTACAATTTTTAGCATCCTGTTGTAGCTGGTCGAAACTCAACCTTGCCTCTACCATGACAAAACTCTAGAGACTTGCTATCTGGAACGAATGTCAGTACGAAAATCAGAAGGGCAAATTTAGACTTTACATGATTGCTATGAAGAGAAGTATCTTTCTGGGATCCATCCTTGATGATCTCTGGTGCCTTGTGCGGACATCAGGGGTATCGTCAGCATTTGTAGCATCTTTACGAGGAGGGGCAGTCACTGGTAAAGTTGGCAATGCACTTGACCAGAAAGGGAGCAATGCTCTGAGGAACTTATGTTGGATTGGACCTGCAACATGTAACAGCTGAAGTTTATATCTAAAAATACATTTCCCTATGAAATATGCACCAATTGGTCCCAATTGAACAAGCAGCAATTCATTCCCACAAGATCTCTGACCATCAGCCCTATTAAGATCTGTTGGCCACTGTTTGCTTCCTGGATTCATTGCATTAATGAAATCGTAACACACATAAGAAATGCTTCTGCCAGGTCACACACTATTACTGTGTTACCCAAAGAGCGCTGTTTCTGTGACTTTAGACTTTGATTAGCCTAGTGAAAACATTGATATAAAGCAAAAGGAATAAAAGAAGGCACACGTTTTGTTGACATATAGGAATTGGAAGGAATTCACTCTGAGTATAGTCAATGTAATTGCATAGACAGGTAACTACTCACCCCTTCGAGAGTACTTTTTTCGGTTCCCGTCTTCATCATCTGCATAGTATGAAATTTCTGAATTTTGCCTCTCGTAATGGATACCGCCTTTTCTAGTAGTTGCAACAGGCTAGATTCCAGAAAAAAACAAAATTGAAAGATAAGAAAGCTTTGTATTAAACTCTAACTGTACACTTAATACAGCAGAAGTTATTACTGTGAGATATAAGATAAAAGCTCTTACAGCAGCTGGACTAGAATTGTTCAAATAATTTGCCCCAGAACTGGAACTATCAATCTCCACAATGTCTGGTATTGAAATCTTAGATGGCATCATTCCGGAGACACTCGAGTATCCCTCACCCGAGTTACTTGGATCATCTTTTGCCAACAATGACGAAGGAGAAATAGAAACCAACGGATCAGTTGCAAATGCAGGAGGTGGTGGCGGTAAGGAAACTGGATGGTTTCCAAACAGGTTCTTCTCTAGACCCGTCTGAATGATGGTGAACAGAAGCGATCAGTGATATCTACAAAGCCAATCTACAGAAGCTCAAAAGAATCACTAGATGCGAAAGAGAAGGCATGAAGAGAGAACATGTAAGACACCATAACTCAAGTAGCATCCCAAAATTTAAAGCAAGGAAGCATACATGCAAATATCAAGTTTTTTTTTGTCTTACAAACATGTTAGACTCGAAGAGGAATTGTCTGTTCAGTTCAAATATCAGAAGACCATTGCCGCAGGCACTTTTACAGTCAGATGATAATGACATCAATTAATGGAGAAACATGGTATACAGAGATGTAAGGAATTAGGAATCCTAGGACAATCCATCCCGAATTTGAACGGAAGGGAAACACGAAACAGTTTCAAACAATTGTTACAGACAAAATCAGTCTATTAAATGCAGCTACGCTATAAGGTTATGTTCCAAGTAAGTTCCAAAGGGATTATAGAGAATGATTTGTGGAGCAAACCATTCAGTTTTTCACAACCACAATGACTTCTTTGCAGTAATAGATCCCCAAAGATATGACAGAAAGACATGCCTGGATAATAGCTTCCTTCAGCTTTGAATAGAAACGAGATCCCGAGTCTTTAACATTTTTCGGATGCCATATCTGCACAAATGAAACCATACGAAACGTCAGAACTGAGGAATGCATCATGAATAAAACTTCATAACAAAACAAATCTATGCAACCAACACCTAACTCAATTTTCTGCTGAGTTCTTTTAATGGTATCAAAAAGAAATGGAATTGGCAGAAGCCCAAACGACATGCCCCAGTCACAAAAGCAACACAGCTTAAATGGTCTATTGAAAGGGATTTTAGCTGTTATAACCAAAATAGAACCCTACATCATGCATTAACGAGAGATGTTCCCAATAACAGGGAGCTAGATCAGAAATGCAGGCATGTTCAGACAGATTATGTATTCAGTATCACAAGACAATTGATCATGAAATCATATACCCAATTTTGAAGAGTAAAAAGTGACGCCGACATTCTTACTTTTTGGCCCACTAGGTGAGGCAAAGATTCAGTTGCGCAGATACATTAGACGATAAGAACTCTGGTGACCCCAAGGTTTTCATTGTTTTAATAAAATAAATGAAAGTACAGTACCAACAAAAGACCGAAAGCATAACCAAATAATTTCAAACGAGACCCGAAGACAGCAGGTCATGCTTACTGTACTCAAAAGACTATTAGCTAAGAAAAACCAGAATCAAGACTTGATCGAACATGCAAGGTTAAAAAACATATGGAACATTCTATCCGAGATCTCATCCTATTCGGCCTAAAGTTTCCCGGAGTAAGTTAATGCTACCAGTAACAAGATAGCAATTTCAGAAACACAATTTCCTTAGTACAATTCACTTTAGCAGCACGCAAGCTTGGCACTACTAGAAAATAGCCTGAATCAGGAGAAATAAAGAACTCCAAAAAGAATAAATAAAAAAATACCGGTATTGAACACAATGGGCACACGTATCCAGCTGGTGCTGTATGTGGAGGAAAGCTTTTGATATGTGAAACCAAACAACTTGTGTGTATTACATCTGCAACCCAGCTTAAAAGGTTAGATGCCACTCTCAATTTGCTAGGACAAAAAAAAAGATTGGACCATAAGAGCACTTACGCATGCAACCCAACCGAGTTGTTTCACCAGAACCCTCGTCTAAAACAGCTTGGCATAAGCAGCATTTAGGGGGCCAATCATACCCTCCATCTATTACCCACTCGGAGTACGTACGAACCTATCAAAGAAAACAAAGAAAATTAACACAGAATTTACAACAACTTCATGCAGAAGCTTTTCATTGGAACCAAGCAATTTAGTTGCCTTCGACCATTTTATGTTGGAAATCTGGACAATAGCAGATCAGATAGGTCTAGTATAAGAGAACTTTTTCTCCCCTAGACACCTTGTTCCATAAGTCAAGCAAGACTGTAATGTTTCACCTTGATCTAACGCGTCTACTTTCGTTCCAAAGTTCTAAATAGTCATCTATGACTAGCACAACACAAACTGAAAACAAATTACTGCTAGTTTAGATCAAATACCTTTATTTACATACAAGACGCAACCAATCAATCATCATTCAAACAGCATCATGGGAACTTGAAACATAAACCACACATACCACGCATATCTGATGCTCTGGAAAGCAGATGCATTCCCCACAAAGAGGAACCTTGTGCACGAAACAATACAATTTAGTAGCCTGAAACAGCGAAAAAACACAAGGATCTGTCAACATTGCGAAGTTGCAACAAGCAAAGATCAGAAAGAGAACATTTCAACGCAAATGCACGCCACAACCGGCTCATCATAGAAGTGAAAATTAGATCAAATTAGATCGCAGAATTCCGCCGAAGCATCACTCCCGAATCAGATCTAACAACTAATCTGCAAATGAAAATGCCTAGGTGAAGTCGAACGCTAACGAAACGTAATTGAGATGCAGGTTACCTTTCGGCATTTGCAAACCACCATCGCAGGGACAAATTGACCAGAAGCTCGATGATTTGTAGGGATGGAGAAGGAAGAGAATCAGCTCGAGCTCAGAGATGAATTCGCTGGAGTTCCAGCTAGGGTTTAAAGAATCACCGCGAGAGAAGAACGCCAGCGAGCGAGCGGACGAGACCGGAGGATCTTCCCGTCTGCCTCTGGTGTGTATATTGTTGAGCGCCGTTTCTTTCCTCTTCGTTTTTTTTTTTTTTTTTCCTTCTTTTTTTTTACAATTGACGGGGAGAGGGTGATTTTGTTTGGGTTTTTCCGGTTTAGTATTTGTCTTGCTAGTTGTCACTTGATGCGGATGTGGATGGACGGTCTCAATTGTCCTTTTAACGTGCAGATAGGGGTAAAATATTAGGCCCTGTTCACTTTCATTTTCGTTTCCTGTTTTCTATTTTCATGTGATAAATTTGGCAACTGAAATGAGAAAACTTGTTTACTTTTCATTCTGTTTTCTATTCGTTTCCAACTATGAAAACAGAAAGTGGCAACTTCCTGCTGTTTTCGAAAACGACAAAATGTTGTTTTCACCTGTTTTCAACATCTGTTTTCTCAAAAACAGGAAACAGAAATGAAAGTAAACAGGCCCTAAGGATATCGTCAATTCATCAAAGTTGTGACAACGAGTGACATGTCGATCGATTGCATTTTGTTTAATCAGTATTGGTATTGAAATAAATTTTAATGTCATCGGTATATGATGTTTTGATTAATTTCCGTCAATTTGAAAATTTCTGATGGTCCAACCGGAATGCTTAATTTCGAAAATTGATTAATGCGACATCATTTCTCGAAGGATATGGGGGACTAACGGATATGCCCGACCTACAAGAAATGCTCAACACTCATCACAACAATGCTAGGAGATTTTCCACAACAATATATGCTCGCTCCAGAAAATTGGGCGCTAGACACACATTTTCACAAATACACACATTCATTCGCCTTCAAGCGATGCTCCTCCACGGGAATGAATCTCGTCTCTCAATAGACACAAAATATGCAAGACAAATAAAGCATGATCCCGCTTCTCGGAAGGCGCGGCATCGACAAGGCAAAAAGCACAATCTCGCCTCCCAGAAGGCGTGACATTGGCAAGAAATAAGAGTGTATTGAGTTAAAAAAATCTCAAATTATGGGGTCATCCTCTCTAGCACATAGCTAACGCCTAATAGTCAGCCAACTACTTATTCTTAACATGTACAAAAGCTCATGCCCATCGCACTGTCCAACAACTTAATGCATATGCTCATAGGTACAACCTATCAGCGTTAACAACAGTAGGCTTGTGGAGAAATCTTAACGATTTGAGAGCTTTAACTCATCAAGTCGAAAGCTAACCAGGGGCCAAAAACAATGGTCATGCAACTCGCACAAAGGGCAAAAACACGTTGTTGAGACTCGCAAGTAAGGCAAATTAATACACTCTAACACATTTTGTTACTCCTTTCATTCTTAAATAATACAATAGCTAAAGGGGCAATTGCTGGGATATGATATTAATATGCCTAATACGACAAACGGTTACGTCATCGATGGGCCCAAACTCAATACAAGGCGTATAACCTTGCACCCATACCCACTTTAAGGAGGCACTCAAGGCAACGGAACTTTTCCTCCCTTCTTTCATTAGGACCACACAAGGTCTCTCTCTAAACTCTCTCTACTTTGCATATTACACATCCATATCTCGTACTAACTTGAGCGTCGGAGTATATATCATGGGAGTCATCACTCCCTCTCTCCACAAGTTCCTCGCCTTCCGAAGAAATGAAACGAGGAAATCCATATCAAAGCCTCAATAATAATTATTGTTATAAGCTCGGGTATCTCCTAGGTCGAAACCATAACTAATGAATAAACACTAGTGGGAAGGAATAAAATACACTTTAGTTTATATTTCGGAGTTGATCGATATTTCAGTATATTACCGATGTCAATCTCGTAATTTCTAATACCAAATAACACTTGAAATTCAATCACAATCTCATAAAATAATTTTAGTGCATTCGGTAATACCAAATATTGACAATTTTAATATGGTATTCGGTAATATCGGTACCAAACTTCTAGCCCTACCCGTTCAGACCACGAACCAGATTTTCAACCCGTCCAGTCTAGTTTTACATAAATTAAATTTTTTTTTTAAATTGTACCTTTTTTTCAAGCAGTTGACTACGATGACTATTGAGATTGACGAAGATCGTGACTGCAACGACCTCACCGAAATCTAACAAAGACTCATCAATGAAGAAGGGTGTTGTTGATTTTGTGTTGTTAGGTGTTGTTATTTAGGTTGTTGGGTTCTTTTGGAGAGAAAAAAGTTTCAAATGTGTTGAGAGTTATGTTTTGATTTTTAAGAATTTTTAAAACAAAATCAGAAAAAGAGTAACAAAATCATTTCACTAGAGTTAGGTTGTTGGGTTCTTTTAATTACGAATTTTAGAGCGGCTGGCTCTTTTTCTTTTTTCGGATAGCAAAACGGAACCCGTGAAACTCGAGAGAGCAGAGCACAACACTCTTATTTACTAGCATCATCGCCTTTGCCCCTCCGTTTCCAATTTCGAATTCAAATTCCTTACCCCTCCTCCGTTCCCACCGCTGCCGCCTTCCTTCCTTCCTTCCTCCTCCTTCTGCATCTAGCTTCCCATCAAGTTACAGTACACCACTGTTCTTCTCGATCCTCCTCCTCCTCCTCATCCAAACTTCCTCCCCGAAAACCCTAACCGCCGCGCCATCCCAATGACAGGTGTCGTCCCGCCGCCGGGATCCGGCCGTGACCTCTCGAACCCACCTGCCGACGGTATCTCTAATCTCCGCTTCTCCAACCACAGTGACCACCTCCTCGTCTCCTCCTGGGACAAGGTAACAATTCGCCTTCTTGTCGACTCAATCTCTGTTCTTTTGTCGCTCTTTTTGGTTCTACCTGGATTGATGCTGATGCGTGTTCTCTTAGAGCGTGAGGCTGTACGATGCGAGTTCCAATGTCTTGCGAGGAGAGTTCTCCCACGGTGGAGCCGTGCTTGATTGCTGCTTCCACGACGACTCCTCTGGGTTCAGTGCTAGCGCCGACAATCTAGTTCGCAGGCAAGTTTCCAACTTTCTTTCTTCCTTTGTGCTTTGCAGTTTGTAGTGAACTTGGATTTGGAGATTTTCCTGACCTGGAACGTGGCTTGGTCTTCACCTGGATTCTTTCCCCTGATATTGAATAATTAAGATCCCTTTAGGTCTGCTGCTTCATATATAATGTCAAGAGTGCTTCAGTTGATCCGTGTCAAACCTTTGGCCTTAAGGGAAAATCTAGTGCTAGCTCGCTTGCTGGCATTTCATTAATTTTGAACCTCGTGTTTCATAGCCTTTGTAGTCGAAATGAATTAGCTATGAGCAAAAGTTTTTGTCATTGTTGTAGTGGGTTCTTTCAGTGATTTTAGGTTAGGGATGCTGCCATTGGAAAATGAGTTAAAACAGATCATGTACGGACAGTCTGCAAAAGTAAAGACTACAGAACAGGAATTGATATATAGTATAAATAACTTAATGCTCCTTCTTTAGTGTGCTAGCTGTTGTGTTCTCGAACAGTTGAATCATTTTTATCCTGATGTAATGTTTTTTTTTTCTTTTCCTTTCACTGTGAATCAAAATGTGTAAGCTCTTGCTTTTCTAAATGATTTGGGTTTCCTGAGGATTCTCCACCCGTGCAGTATGAATAACATCTCTGACCCCATTCTGTTGATGTTTCAGACTTGTTTTTAATCAAGGAAAGGAAGATGTTTTGGGGAAGCATGAAGCACCAGTCCGTTGCATAGAGTATTCTTATGCATCAGGTGAGATAATCTAAGATTTATCTGTAGAAACGTTTACGTACTTCAGCTTTGTTAAGGTCATTGAGAGCAATTTCTTTCCTACAAACTCATTCATCACCATGTGCATTCCTTTCAAGTTTCATCGTCAATCTATTTTGTCCTTCTTTCCTTTTGAGTGTTTGTCTATATTGATGTTTCAAGCTAACAAGTATTTAGCTGTACAGTAGCATCTATTTTTATGTTGGTTATTATAATGTGTTTATCTTAATGAGCTGATGATTGAATGTGTGATCTATCTCTGTGTAATAGGGCAAGTGATTACTGGTAGCTGGGACAAAACAGTGAAGTGTTGGGATCCCAGGGGAGCAAGTGGACAAGAGCGCACTCTCATCGGCTCATATGCACAGCCTGAAAGGGTTTACTCTCTATCTCTTGTTGGAAACCGTGTAGTGGTAGCCACAGCAGGTAGACATGTAAATGTCTATGATTTGAGAAATATGTCTCAACCAGAGCAGCGAAGGGAATCTTCATTGAAATATCAAACACGATGTGTGCGCTGCTACCCCAATGGCACAGGTATTGGCAGATCCTATTTTTGAATTAGTTTGTTCAGCTTACTGGTTCCATTTAACTGGATAAAAGAACATTCTATATCTTGAAGTCTGTATGTCCTCTTGACGATGGATATCTTTCTCTTACATGCTTACTGTGGAAATTTCTTTTATTGCTGATGTAATTGGACGAGAGACTGATCTGTTTCGTGAAGCATGTGTAGTCTCTCGAAGAGCCCTATGCTTGAAGATTAATAGTTTCCTTCAACATGTTTGATCATTTTTCTTTGACCTTAAGATCTTATTCTTCCACCGTGCTATGCAGGATATGCTCTTAGTTCTGTAGAAGGGCGTGTAGCAATGGAATTTTTTGATCTTTCAGAGGCAGCTCAAGCTAAAAAGTGGGTATTCCATTTCCTCAACCTTTAGAAGAAAACTTAACACATCATCTCCTCTTACTCGGTCATTATCACAATGTAAAGTTTCAACAAGTGTGTTGGTGATTTTTGCTACTGCTAGTACTGCTTCATGCAGGGTCAAATGGTTGATTCTGATAGGATATTTAAAGCAATCATGCATAGTTTGTGGGGATCTTTCACCTTTGAAATTTTTGAAAGGGTTGGGATGGTGGGATTAAACCTATGAGCTCTATGATTTGGCTGGTTACCCAACCATTAGACCACACGAGGTCCTCCATAGTTATGTTTTCTATTTAATGGGATCAAACATATTCAGTCACATGTTCTCTGCTGCTAATATTTATACTCATTGCAGATATGCATTCAAGTGCCATCGGAAATCTGAGGCTGGAAAGGATATTGTATATCCTGTAAATGCCATTGCTTTTCATCCTGTGTAAGTTTCTAAGCATCCCTGTAGATTTACCTTTCTCCGCAGATTTCAAAAACAGAAAAAAGGACAGCAACCTTGGTCAGAATCACATATTTGATAGAAAGTGGTTGGTTGGGTTTGATATGATGTATGTGTCTCCTTACCTGCTAATCACAAGAAATAGATGAATGATATTTGATCAACTTGCTCCCTATGAAGCAGGTACAATTTGCTCTTGAATTTAATGCCTAAAAATGGATATTAGTGTTTATTATTTCGGTGGCTAGGCTGTTGCTTGGCAAGTTTTCTATTTCACTAAAACTGGTACTATTTGGATTTGACCTTTCCAGCTACGGTACATTTGCAACTGGAGGCTGCGACGGTTTTGTGAATGTCTGGGACGGTAACAACAAGAAGAGGCTGTATCAGGTATCTTGCTTCGTTTCTTTATATTTCTACGCGAAAGATGCGATGTGCATTTTCCCAGGAAGTCCTCATTTCTAATGTTATTTTACACTCATATTTTCAGTACTCAAAGTACCCGTCGAGCATTGCTGCACTTTCGTTCAGCAGAGATGGCCGCCTATTAGCTGTGGCGTCAAGCTACACATTTGAAGAGGGAGAGAAACCGTATGACAATTTCTCACACTCTCCCTCTCCCTTATCCCTCTCTGTTGCTGGGTCTAACTTGTTGATGTACATTTTGCAGCCACGAGCCAGATTCTATATTTGTCCGCAGTGTGAATGAAGTCGAAGTAAAGCCTAAGCCGAAGGTCTATCCAAATCCTCCTGCATGATCAGAAATTGTGTGACAAGGATTGCTGTGTAGTAGCAGTATTGGTAGTATTATGTGTTGTTCGCTGGAGTGCTTCATTTACTCCTTGTGAAGTTGCCGGAGCTAAACATGTCGTGTAACTGATCCAGCTATGGATTATCTGAAGCAGGCTAATTTGTGAATTACTACATGAATCTTTTCCAGTGGTTTCCGTGCTGTGACAGAAAAAGAAGTGTATCGTTTGCCCTCTTCTTGATGATCACGTTAACAGTATTCTAGTATTCTTTTGATCCCCTCTTGTGGTTTACAACTTCTAAATCGTAATGGACTGGAATGACATCGTGAGCAACACGTTCTCAACAAAGTTTCTTTTCACTTTTTCTAAAATCAACTTAGGGAAAATGTAGGGATTGAAATTAACAATTGCAGCGCGCAACGAAACCCCATTGATAGGGTTCGACGTTTTCTTTCATCGTGCACCTATGCCACATGTTTCATAAGTAGTTCAGGAAAGTTCAAAGCTACATCATTCTCATGGCAATTCTACGACAAAGAGCTGTATTCGGGTAAAAAGTGGGGCAAATGTATGGTGTGCCCTAGTTGAGAAATGTTCCAGTAAACTAGAGAACCATATAACAGAAACCCTTTGCCCCCGGCAACATTAAGGTAAACCTTGTGAAGAGCTGCTACGAGTTCTGTACACTACATAATAGTTTTGAGCAGTAGCAGCATAACGGACTATCTAATTGATAATCAACCAAATCTGGTAGGAGCTGCTCGTGGACCAGCAGCCGCGGCACGCATAGCTTTAGACTGAGCAAGCAATGCATCGTAGTCCTGCACAGGGAATAAGGTTTTGTTACTTCCAAAGGCTGCGGTGCAAAGTTATTATTTCACACACAAAAAAAAAAAGGTTAAGTGCAAAAGAGCGCGTACCCGTTTCTGAAATGCATCGTCACTTGAGTCGACCAGTTTGTCTGCCAAGCCATACTCTATTGCCTCTTGTGCATTCAGATACTTTGGTCGCCGAACGTCTTTATTTATTTCTTCCTTCGATTTCCCAGTTCCTTTAGCTAACAGCTCAATGTAGTAATCCGTATTTGCATCCAGCTCTTTGGCCTGATGGAGTGATCATAATATGAAAATATAATTAGGTCTCAGGAGAAGCCAGAGATGCAGCAACAAGCGAAGGGTAAATACAGCAAAGGAGGATTACCTTGATCCACATGTCAATGACAGACCCACTCGATCCATTGACTTTAGGCAGATAAAGCTTTGCTGTAATTCCAAAAAAAGGGACGTTTGGAAACCATGATCAGAAAGTGTAGAACTGTAGATAGCTATAAGACAAGTAGTTTTGATTGCTATTCCATCCATTTCAGGAGAAAAAAAAACAAAGTCATCAATTCACGAGGCCGGAACTCAAAGCACCACAATGTCCCGTGCACCATATCCATGCTGTCTACTAACCTGTCTAAGTCATGCTTACTGATTTTATCATGAAATGAAAGTTTGAATCTTACTAGATGAGTTGGGCTGTAGGGCACGATAGCCTTTGGCTCCAAGTGACAGAAGCATTGCAGCTTGACCATATGCCATCCCGCAGTTCACAGTGTAGACAGTTGACTTGCAATACTTCAAGACCGAAAAACAATTTAAACAAGAAAGTATCAGCGAATTACTCTGTTTGGTTTGGAATGATTGCCTAATAAAGTCAAATGCACCATTGTCCCCAGTTAACAGAGCAAGTCTACACAAGTAGAAAGAAAAGTATAACCCGCCAAGTCATCGCAATTATCTAACAAACAGTACTTTATCGATTCACCAAGCCTTTCTAATCTATCCAAAGGTACTGGTCACTATTACATGTAGCATGCAGCTCAACACTATTTTAGCATAGATGTCACAGAAAGGAAAACATGGCCTAGCTCTACAAAAAGATTATAATCGATCTAGCTATCTTTAGTACCCATATTGCATTAGGCAGGTGAAAATATTATATCCAGAAGAGAGATACTCACAGCCATAGCATCAGCAATGGCAAATGCTTCGGTTTCAGAACCAACAGTCTCCATCTTCTCATTCTAGATTTCAAACAAAAACTGAGTCAGACATCCAAAACAGCTGGTTTGAAGGAAAAGCATTCAATCTGTACAAACGACCGACCTGCGTCCCAGTTGAGTTTATGTACAGGTAAATAGGCTTTGTCGCATCATCATAGTCCAGATACATAAACTGAGCAACAAGAAGCTCGGTGACTGCAGGTACTATCTGCAGACACAAAGAAGAGAAATGCACAACTTTCACCAAAAATAATATGCAGGTAAAACCATAAGAGGGCATCAATTACTCAAGTAAAGTCGCTTACTGACCGGCATTCCAAGATAGCATATCCGAGCATCTAACAGCAAAGAAGGCAGATCCGGAGGAGCGGATCTCGGCCTTCCAATTCCGCCCCTCCCACCTCCACCCCGATACATGCTCACACTCATGCTATATTTTGCTGGACCCATATCCGTCATACCTGATGTAGTGTACATCCCACCATGATCCAGATAGTTGCATCTAGATGAAATGCTTTCCTGTCAAGAAGAGTAGTAAACTTATTGTCTTGCAGTTCTTCGTCAGCTAATTCCAAAAACCAATAGAGTGAGATTACCAACTGGGTGAACTGCTTGTTATTCAGAATTATGTATGCTTCTCAAGAATACATATAAAATTTCCAAGAACTAGTAATAACCTCTGTCACTCTTTCAGACTGCCTACGAATGGGGTTATCTTCAGTCATAAACATGTCCATTTGTGAAGGAGAAAGCCCATACAACTGCCGAGGAACATTTTGGTAGTTTTCCATCACTGCAAAAGTAAGAAACAGAAGGATAAAATGCGAAAGAAATTCTGGGAAGAGTTAGTCCAGAATTTCTACAATGAAATTCGGCCTCCACTAAACTCTTAACAACTTGTTCGAAAACCTAGCTCTTCCACTGAAATTCGAACCCTAGCCAGTAATTTTAGGTATCAATAAACCTGAATCACTATCCAGATCAGCTATGCTTTCCGGGCAAAAAAAACAAGCGAATGAAATTAAGAGATACTATCACAACCTCGATGAACACTCAAACCAAAAACAATTGAAGGAAAGAGATACTTACGTCCGTCGATGAGGTTTTCTTGCCGGAACCGCTGAGGAATGCGGTCAAAAGGCTTCCCGGAGGCGGAAGGAGATGTGTAGCATCTACGCCGAACTGCATCTCTCTGCTTCAGTGGATTGGCAGTGGAGAAGAGGAGGTTCGTACTGGAGAGGAAAGACGATTTTGGAAGGCCGGCAGTGGGAGCTAAGAGCTCCGTCGACGGAGCAGAGAACGGCGAGAGCAGAGAGGCCGCCATGGCTGTGGAGAAGAGGAGACTGAGAGCGAGAGAGATACAAAGCGAGTGAAAAACAATCCAAAGTTCGGAAGCTATTCGTTGTAGCGTAGCAGAGTTCGGAGAGTAGAAGCGACCTGGTGTGGTGATGGAGAAGCCTGGGGCGTTCTTCTGTTCCTGATTTCTTCACTTCACGATATTTTTTTTTTTTTCCTTTTTGAATTTCTTTTTTTCAATTTATGTTTCTCATTTTGGGCTTTTTGACCAAGCTTGGGTTTCCGGCTTCACTTTGGATCGTGGCCTCGTCTAGACCATATAGGTTTTTAGTCAATGCGGCTAATGGGGGACGAGCTACGGTGACAACCCCCTACCCCAAGGGGTTGTCCGATTCACAACCAAGTGTATTTTGGGTATGAGAAAAAGGAATATATTAATTACCTTTTTTTGTATTAATTATATTGGGAATTAAAAATCCATATTAAATACAATTTTTTTACTGAAATTTAAATCCTATACATTAATATCTCTATCTATCTATCTCTCTTCCTTTCTCCAGCAGCCACTCCGCATCGACCGACAAACTTTTTCTCCGGCGAATTCTCTCCGGCAGACTCCCTCCGGCAACCTGAAAAAATGTACCAATGCGTTAAAAAGTGTACCAATCTATTAGTCTACTGGTAATTAATATACCAGTGCTAGTGGTACGATACCAGTACGTTAAAAATGTACCAGTACTAGCGATACCAGTAAAAAATGTACCAGTACTAGTGGTACGCTACCAGTAGAGAATAACACAACGCTACTAGCACTGGTAGCGCTACCACTAGCATTGGTAGCGATACCAGTAGCGAATAACACACAAAAAAAAACAGATGATAGTGGTACCAGATGATAGGGGAGCCACTGGTATTGGTACCAGTGAGTAGTGGTAGCGTACCAATAGCGCTACCAGTGGTATTGGTACCAATAGTGCTACCAGTGGTATTGGTACCGGTAGTGCTACCAGTGGTATTGGTACCGGTAGAGACTATCAGATCTGGAAAAAAATAGGGATGAGGAACGAGGGAGGCAGGGAAGAGTCTTGACCTCGCGGTGGCGGCGACATAAAAATGGTGGCGGCAGGGGAGGACAGCGGCGCGGACGGTTCCTTGCCGGCGGGGGGGGGGGGGGGGGGGGGGGGGGGGGGAGGACACTGCTTCTCCTTGATTGTCTTCATGGTGGTGCTTATGGGAAGCTGTTGCAGCTGCTGTGATGGGGATGAGATCTCATCCATGACGGCGGAGAGAGGGGGAGGAGAGGTGGTGATGTCTACGGGAGAGAGGGAGGAGAGAGAGAGGGAGGATGGAGGAGTTAGAGTTTTTGTTCTTTTTATATGGTAGGGTGAATGATTGGGTGTGGTAAATTTTTATCCTTCCAAAAATATCTTTCCTTTAATCTTAACCGTTAATTTAAAAAAAAAAAAAAAAGAGACAGGAGAGAGAGCGTATCCAAGGGCTATGAAGTGAGTTGTGAATCTGACAACCCCCAAGGGGGTTGTCACCGTATCTCGTCCCCGGCTATGGTCTAAAACCTAGTGGGAACTGGTTCACAATTTTTTTGGTTAAACCGAATATTGGAAATTATGACCCGGTCCAGTTACAACCAAAATTGGATGCTACTGGGACTGCTCCGAATTACAATCGTGGATTGTGGGGAAAATGTAGTCGTGAACTTAGCGGAGAAATTTTACAATGCTATATAGTATTGTTGTTATAGGTTTTTGTTTTTATGGTACAACTTAAAATTATACATTTACGTTATGGTACAACTTCAGATTGCACCTATACTTTTTGTACAAATTTTTTTATGGTACAACTTGAAATTGTAACTTTACGTGATGGTACAACTTCAAGTAGTAAAATTGTACCATAACATAATGGTACAAATTGCTTTATGGTACGACCTAAACTTATACATTTAATGTTATGGTACAATTTTAAGTTGTACACTAAAGCACCGATGCTATATAGCATAGCAGAAGTGCTCAAGTTAGAGATGTAAAGTTTTTCACGCTTCTACATCATTTTAGGAAAGAGGTGAATTCATTAGAGGTTAATTGACGATCTGTAGCTCTAAGATATACAATTTTTGAAGATCATATCTGATTTAAAGAAAGTAATGATTTAGGGGTCAGAAACAAAATTTCACCGCTCTGCAGTCCTCCGCCTAGGTGCAGTGAATTTAGATTGGAGGAGGACAATCCCCAAATCTGCCAAAACAACATGCCCAAACGCGGTGCGCAAGTAACTTAACCAGATGGACCAAGTTGGCCACACTACTAATACGACACCTGGACACATACTCGCTTGTAAGTAAAACCCCGCCGTTTTGATCTTTGCACCTTTCAAAAAAGTGATCTAGCAAACAAGCGGCGTCACGGTTTACTGGCCGACTGGACCACCGGAAAATTGCCGAGAAGAAGAGAAAGTTTGCTCATCATCCGTCCGCTCCGCCAAAGTTTTACTTGCACTTAGGCTGCTACGCCTTTAATAATAAAAAAATAATTATAATTCTTATTAATTAATAATTATAATACTTTTCTCTCGATCATCGAAATGCCCATTCTGTATTTAGTAAATATTTGGTATGGGCGCACAGATGAGAAGGAATAATAAGAACGGTAAAGAGTGGAAGAAAGGAATTAGTTGAATGGATAAAGCCTCTCAGTCGGGGCGGGGGCCTAACAAAATCGTACGTGTATCCATGTTGCGTGGATATGGATGCTCCAAGTCGACTCCAATTTTATATGCATATATACGTACGTATGAATATATCCTTCTCAAATACCTAAATTTACTTTGAGCTTCTCAGTGACATTTTTTTCTTCTTCTTCTTTGTTAATGGTGGTGGATGGTAGGGATTTGAGAAAAATAATTATGCTCCTGGGGTTCGGTACGAGTTCGACTAAATCGGGAATGGTTAAATCTCGAATTCTAACCTTGTCGAATCACACTCTAAACGCGGTTAGCTGTTTAACCGATTATGTTGTTATGATTAATCAACTAATATAAAATAGTACTGTCAACTGTAAGCAAAAGTTAGTTAACAACTAAACGAGAACCGAATAAAAAGTTATGGTTATAAGTTATAACCAAACCAAACCGAGTAACAACCTAATTGATAGTTGGGAGAATTTAGTGAAGGGATTAATTACTAGCTAACCACATGGGTGATGACTCATGGGCGGATCCAAAAGGTGTCTAATTTGGGGAAAACAAAATTAACGATCCTCTAGTGGTATTGTGACTTGTGAGAACGGGAAATTGGAGGAAAAGGTTATGAACATTTTCCCATTAAACTGAAATTCGTTTGTTGTTTTAATTTTAACATAAACATAATTATAAACAACTATCCCTTAAAATAAAAATAAAACCCAATCCACATATTGGCGAGCTCTTATCCCGCCATATTCTAACACATAAATTAATAGCCTAGTGTAATTGCAGATTTGCAGGCAAAGGTCGATAGTATTTTTCTTTTGGATTGGTTGTTTGTTTGTTTGGGTGAATATAGCTACTCTCCGTACCATAATCCATAGTCCACACCGCCGCTTCAATATATATTCCCCCTTGATATTTCCGCGCGGAGTTTAGTGCGAGGAGTCATTATTTTTGTCATTAACTTGTGTAACTTCTCAGCTAATAACACTTGTAGCTAGCTACCGTAGCATTTTTTTTTTTTTTTGGAAGCATTTGGAATTTTAATACAGAGTCCAAAACTCAATTAATCACAAATCAGCATGCATCCATTCCTTTCTGGGTGTAAAATCCAACCCACAGTTCAACTGACGAATGGCAATGGGGGGAATTTAAAGCTTGGAGATCACGCCCAATATCTTTAAAATCAACTGATGCTTCAAAATTCTTAATCCTTACCTTTGACCATTATTATTTGCTTAGTATCCCTTAATCAGTTAATCCCCAACTACTTGAGCATCAATTTTTTTTTTTTGGTTTAGCTTTCCAAAATCATTTAACAGATATTGACATCTCATGCAATTCAATAACATTAATATTCGGCAGAATAAATTAATTATTTAGGAGCGAGTGTTAATAATTTATCTTGAAGATCACATTGAACCGGCACCGTATCTCTTCTCTCTCCGTCATCCAAACTCCTGAATAAAACGTGCCTCACACTCCCACCATCTCTACACACACACATACACTAACGCAACACAACTCCCACAAGATTAAAACTCCCTTCCTTTTTTATTTATTTATTTATTATTTATCTATAATCTAGGCTTCACTTATCCACACACAGGCCCAAAAGGGTAGTTTTGGTACTTACTATTTACACCGCCGCGTTTCCTTTCACCCCGAGGAATTCTCTTCACAGTAAGTAAGTAAAACCCTAATTAATAATAAGCATAAAAGGAAAAAAGCGCCAAATTGACTCGGAATCGGAATTGGTCTACTAATAAGAGTAATTCCAATTCCTAATCCAAATCCTATTTCTTCTTCCCACTCTCCACCCATTACCATTAGTTGACCGACTTCACTCTTCCTTTTTTTTTTCCTTTTCCTTTTCCTTTTCCTTTTCCTTTCCTACAAAGGCCTGCTGGGCTCCACCGCCAACTCTCTCTCTCACTCTCTATATATTCATAATTACAGGCCGATCTTCCCCCTTCTCACTTCACTCTCACTCCTCCCTGCAAATTCCCCTCTGCTTTCTCTCTCTAAAATTCCGCTTTCGTGCTCCGCCTTCCCAAAGTCTCAATTGTTCGGGCAAAGGAGTTTTCGGTTGGGTAAAATATATGGCCATGGAAGCTCTCAATTCCCCCACCGCCGCCGCCGGTCCCTTCAATCGCGACGATTCCTGGACCAAGAGGAAGCGCTCCAAGCGCCCCCGCGCCGATTCTCCCGGTCCACCCACGGAGGAGGAGTACCTCGCCCTCTGCCTCCTCATGCTCGCTCGCGGCGGCGGAGGCGGCGGCAAAACTGTCGAATCCAGTCCCGTCGATTCCCAGCCGTCGTCGGCTCCACCTGCTCAACCCACTCCAGGGCCGGCTCTGAATCCGTCCTACAGTTGTTCCGTCTGCAACAAGGCCTTCCCGACCTTCCAAGCGCTCGGCGGTCACAAGGCCAGCCACAGGAAGTCGGTCGCCGCCGCCGCCTCCGTCGAAAATCCTTCCACCTCGAACCCTTCCTCCGCCGCCACCACCGCCACCATGAGCAGCGGAAGGACGCACGAGTGCTCCATCTGCCACAAGACGTTCCCATCCGGGCAGGCTCTCGGAGGCCACAAGCGCTGCCACTATGAAGGCACCCTCAAAGACAACAACAACAACAACGGCGGTGGCGGCGGGGCTGCACGCGAGTCGTCGGAGAGCACCATCGGGACGGCGGCGGCGGCGAAGAGCCAGAGCCAGAGCCAGAGTCAGAGTCAAAGCCGCGGCGGCGGTGGGTTTGGATTTGACTTCGATTTGAATCTGCCGGCCAGCCCTGAGCTGGGATTGGCCATCGGCGGCGGCAGCAGCGCGGTTCAGGAAGCTTCCCGGAGGATCGACGGAGTAGTAGAAAACGAAGAAGTGGAGAGTCCTCTGCCCGGGAAGAAGCCAAGATTGTCGCTCGGCCTACAAGTCACCACCGACCTGGCTTCTATCTAAAGAATTACCCCTTTTTACTTTTTAGGCATATATATATATAAAATAATAATTCTAGAATTAGCTTAATTTTCCCCATTGTTGCTGCTTGTTTAGGGTGGATTGGTTCAATATCTTCTGTACAGGGAAATTCGTTTTGGGGATTTGGTAGACCAGTGTTAGTTCAATTGATTCATTTTAGTATTGCCAAACAAATATTGATGAAAATTAATTGATATTTCCAGAATATATTCGTTGGTTCATACATATTTTCTGTCTTGGCTATGAATCATTCTCATCAGAAGAAGAAGAAGAACTCTGTTTCTTCATCCATGGCAATTATTCCGTCAAAATACAATGTATATGCGTACAGGTTCTCCGTTCTCCCCATCAACAAGTCAAGTCCTTTCTTTCTACTAGAACCGATTGCTTAGAATTTGGGTTTTGGAAAATAAATAAATAAATTTGAATTATAGAATCGATTGCCGCGTGTGAACAGCGCATGGACAGCGGGGAAGAGAAGAGACGGGCGGGAGAGCGGCGGTGGCGGCAGCGGGCTGACGGCGGCGGGCGGTGGGTTTGGCCGTTTGAACGAAACAGGAAGCTATAGCCATGTGGAAGAGTACAAAGGGAGAAGGCACATGTTGCGTGATGAATGCCTTTTTTCTTCGCTCTCTCGTGAAGGTCTGGCTGTTTTGTAACGAACACATTTCGGCGTGGCTGAATTAGGAGGGACACTTGGCAGGGTTTTTGCAATAATCCCACACCACTAATCATCATCTTTAATCTTTTCGTCACTGTTAGCTCATTCGGCCAACTATAATTAAGTGTCACCCTGCCAAAATCCAATTACGGTTTTGTTTAACCCTGTCAAACCAGAAGTCGGATGGTATAACTCAATTCGGTTATTGATTTTGAACGGATACAAAGGGAAAAAACCATATCAGATAGAATCAAAGGGCTAAAATCGGAATTTAAAATGAAAAAACCGCTTCATGTCAGTGAGCCCGGCCCACTGGCCCAGTCCTGCGCTCATCCAAGCCCAGTTCAGACTTCGGAAGCCTAGATAGTAAAATCCCCAATGTCCCATAGCCCGACCCGACCGAAAGCCTAATCTCCTCTCATCCTATTCCTTTCTACTTCTTTCATCCCTCTTTTTCCATGGTTCCTTTTCATGCTCTCTTGCCTTTGTTTTAGGCATTTTTCCATCGGATTTTCCAGCTTTGTCAGCTTTTCCTGCCTTTGTGGCTTTTCATTGTTCTCTGTTCTAGGGTTCTTGTTTCTGGGTTTGCTCTCATTGGGGCTGAATTTTGCATCATTGGCGTCTATACCAAACTTTGTGTGGTGGCTGTCCCTCTTGATGGTGGATTTATCTTTCATTTGGTGAATCCATTCACCGTTTTCCCCCTTTGGCTTCTGCTGGTGGTTTCGATCTGCCTCTTTGTCGTCGTCGTTGGGTAGATGACGGAGTCTGATCCGGTTGGCTGTGGTGACGGTTCTTGGATTTTGGGGTGTGGGTTCTCTTGCTCGCCTTCACCAAGATTTGGTTCCTTGGATCCCTCTGCTTCTTCAGCTCGGAGCAATCTGATTCTCATTCCTGACCACCGCCATGTAATCCCACATCTGAGATTCACTGTGTTGAGCGTCTTCGAGCGACTCCCAGGAGGCGGCTTATGGCATTGCTGTGTTCAATAGCCATGGTTTCGATCGGATCGGACGAGCTAATTGTGCTTGGTGCTACTTTGTTTGGTTTGGTTGCAAGAGAGATTTGTGTGTTTGCTGGTTGTGGATCAAGTGTTTCATACCCAATGTAGGGGTTGGTTCATTTGGTGTTCGGTGCTGTCCTTTTTCTATCTTTGAAACACTGTTTGTTTCAACTCTTGCTTGGAGATGTTTACTCCTGCTCTAGTTCTTGTTACCTCTTTGATTTCTCTTGTAATCGATCTTACAAAGTGCAATGCAAGTGATCCCTTTGTTCCAAAAAAAAAGACTATAATAACAGTCTATTGTAAAAAAAAGGGACTATAATAACAGTCCCAGTTCGGGCAGTAAGAGCATGTAATGTAGGTATGTATTACATGCAAATATTTATTTTCCGTGTTTGGGGCATGATACTATATCCTAAACTCTAATGAGTGAACTTCATCCCTAATTCTCTAATCCGAAGCATAAAATTCATTTAATCTAAACATATAATAACCAATAGTTATGATTCATCGAAATAAATCATAGTACAAATAGGAAGTGTGAACACAGACGTATATCGCATGTCAGGCTTACGTAGTATTAATCCATTTGGAATGTTGTAAATTTTAGTAGTTGGAAGAGAGTTCACGTAGGTTGTAAGAAATGTTCTTGTAGTTGAACGTTAAGAAATACCAACCAGTTCAAGGAGTTGTTCCATCGAATGAGTTATTAAAAAGAAAAGAGCTTTGCTACGACGTACATACAGAGCAGGAGTGGGGATTGGGGGAAAAGGGTGTACTAATTGACTTCACCTTTTATCTCCTTTCCATGTATTGTAGCAACATAATTGACTTCACCTTGAGCCGGTCCACGTCCATATCATCAAAATGAACGATCCAAGTAATTTGCAAATTCCTCCCGTAGCTTCTTACCCTTTAGACGTGTAATTGGACCCTCCTGAGATGTTGTAGGCTTGATTTTGATGACCTCATTATGATCTCCCTGCCCGTGACTTCGACACCTGTGCTCGTCACCACGCCGCGTTATGGGTCGATGTCACGGTCGTTACTTTTGAGGATGAAGAAGCCGGATAGTGAAAATTCACAACCGCGAGTTAGATGTTGAAGTTATTTATCGAAATCAAGTATAAACGTTTAGATATGATGTGAATCTATGTATTTAAATATGAATGTTTGTAATTTTATTATGAATGTCAGCATTTTAATCAAATATCAATTGTCAGTAAATTGACTTCAAATATGTTTTTATATATGATTAGATTCATTTATTGTTAATAAAATTTTCACATTTCTACACATTTTGTTAAACCGGCACACATTAATTGTATCACCAATCGAATCATTTCACCTGCTAAACCTGCCGTAACCGTATAAACCAGTTTCACAAACTTGGTATAGTTGGAATGAGCAAATAGCCAATAAAGCAAAGCCGGGTGAGGGGAGGAGTAGTGTGTCAGGTTTGGCGTGCATAAACTCAGAAAAGGTGGTGATGAATCAGAATGAATATAGGGAGGGACTCATGAGTAGTTTCCCTTCCCTTTCCTTTCCCTATATTGCACACAAGAACAGGAATGATTAATATCTCCCTACTTTTTCCTCTCTTCTCTTACTAAACGATTAAAGCAAAAGAGAAAGGGAAAACTGGGGAGCCAATAGGAAAATTGTCTTTTCGTTTTTCTTTCTTTCTTTCTTCCTCTACTTTTCTCGACCTTTTATCGCACACAACTGTAATGCCAAATTGAGCTACCAATTGGGAAGTGCTGCTGCTAGTGCTACACAATGGTCTGCAACAAACATTTCTGAATTCTGCGTAGTTCATCCTTTTCCTGTAAAAGTCGGAATTTCTTTCGAGGGTTCTCAAGATTCTTTCCGCAAAGTGAGTGATTGAGTGAGTGAGTGATGATTGCCAGCTCATTCATTCTCCTGGGTTGGAACTTATTACGAGTGGAGGGTTTATTTCTTTGGCGGTTCCATTTCATGGATTTGGCTGATCTCTAGCTTTGGATCTTCATTCATTCTTCCACTACCCACCCAACACCAACAAGCAGCAGCAAAGCAGAGTCCTGGGTTAAGGTAAAGCTTTCGTCTTTTGCTGGTTTTAACAAAATTTTTTTTTTTTTAAACATACCTCTTCTCATGTCCTGTCCGAGTGTCTGTCTAATGGATATTGCTGGTGTTTGCATTTCCCCAATTTTCAAGCCATCTGTCTTCTCAAACCTTGCGTCTGTGCCCTTGAATGGGTTTTCCTTTCGCTTATCTGCAAGCATTGAGTCTCGGGTTTTGTTGGGGGTTTACACGGAGAGTAGCTTTTGGGGCTTGTCTTGTTGTTGGCTGTGAGTGAGTGAGTGTGTTTCCCCCACCTTTTCTTTCGTTTAATGTTCTTTGCTTGCCAAGTTGGTTTTTAGATGCAATGTGATCATGTGGGGGAGTTTAGTAAGGCTGGCTTGTGAGGTTCAAAATCTCTGGTTGTTTAGGATTATATATTATTAACTCTGGTTTTTTCTCTTCTCAGTGGAGATATTCTGGTAGATTCCTTCATTGTAGGGATGGTATTTTGATTTCCCCCCCTTGCGATTTATTCCCCCATGCTCTTTACTAACCTTGTGAGAGGGAAATGAAGGGGGGAAAAAAGAAAGATAGATAGATGCTGCTTGTCTGCAAATTTGGTGGTTTCTTCAACTGATACCGAGATGCTGTTTTTCTGTTGCAGTATTCAAACTTCAACGGTGGCCAGAGAGTAGGGAAAACAAAAATCAGAAAGCATTGTACTGAAACTTGTGGGTTTTTATAATTTTCTGTAATCAAGTTTGGAACTTGGGAACCTCTCCAAGTGGGCTTAACATGTCTTAGTTGAGAGAGAGAGAGATGGATCTTTGAATAATAAAGTGGAGTAAAGAAGAAAAACAAAGGCAGCAGAGATTGCAGAGGGGAAGAAAGATAGAAAAATTAGCAGCAGTGAGTGCTAGAGTGTGTGTGAGAGAGAGAAAAGGGAGTCAGATTGATGCTTGAATGAATTAGCTGAATAGTTTAGTTAAGAGAGCCTTGTTGGCCATGTCCCCTTCTTCTGATTCACTGCCTCCGGGCTCCGTGGGCTTTGCCGTCGATTTAGGTAACACCCATTCCTCCATATAATCTCTCTCATCTTCCTTCCTCTGTAAGAGATCCTTCATATTTTCTCTTTAAAAACAAACAGTTTGATCTGAAATCTTCCTCTAGTATCTCTCAGTCCAAGTTATCCCCTTTCACACAAAAAACTTCAGTCCTTCCCTCTCTTTCATAGTCAGACTTGTTTCGCCTTGCCTCGATTTGCTGTCAAGATTTGGTGGTAATGCTCCATTTCCTACTGCAGAAAAGAGGATCCCCTTCTTAATTACCACATCTTTATTATTCAATCTCCCTCTCTCTCATTGAGGATTTAGAGAACACCCAGCAAAACCTTCTTCTTCTTCTTCTTCTTTCTTCTTCTTGTTTCTGATTCAGCAATCTGGTCCCCACTCCCTGGGTTATTGCTCCCATTTCCCAAATACAGGCAACTTTTCTCCTCGAGACTTGAGGGGTTATGTATATATATTTCACTGGGAAGGTGTGTGGTTTTTGGTGCTGGAGTTGTTTCTTGGTTGAATAGTGAAAAAGGGGGAAGGTTTGTTTGCGTGGAAGTACAGTAAAGTTTGTGGCTTTCTCTCTTTGGCAAAGATGAAGTTTATGAAACTTGGTTCGAAACCTGATTCCTTTCAGACAGATGGCGACAATATCAGGTGAGACTCATTTCAACCTTCCTTTGCTTGCTCACTTTCTCTCTTTTTCTACATAGAACTTCCAAGTTTCCTGCCTCTACCCTTGGCCTTTCTGCTTATGTAGACTTGGTTTGGTTGTGTGAGTGGTGCCATTCAGATTCCTGATAATAACCAGCTGATATACTAGTATTAATGCATCAGATTTTCAGATACCAGGGAAGCCGATACCCTTTTTCCTATCCTAGCTTCCTCATTTATCACTTGTTCTTGTCTCTTTATACTATGAAGTAGTCTGTGTTTATCATTGACTGTGCGCTGTAGATCACTGGGTATAGCTGCATTTTACTGCCTGCTTCATGGTTGCTTGTTTTTATCGATCTGTCAAAGTTGAACTATAAGAGCTAAGGTCTCGATGCCGAAAACCAGATGAACACCCTTTTGATCCAATCGAATGATTTAGATGCCCTTTGTCTGAAATCGAGTATGCCATGAACAGTATGCCGAGTAATCATCTTGTTTGAAGTGGAATGAGTTACTAGAGCATTATTATGGATCTTTCATTGTTTCATGTGCAGGTATGTGGCTACTGAGTTGGCAACTGATGTCACTGTTATTGTAGGAGATGTCAAATTCTATCTGCACAAGGTACAACTCTATCCACCTTTCTCCATCGTTAAAGTCTTCATCTTTACTAACAAGTTTCTGCTTCATTGCAGTTTCCCCTTATGTCCAAAAGCGCTCGCTTGCAGAAGTACGCTGTCACAAGTAATGGAGGAGAAAGCAGCGATGAAGTCGACATCTCTGATATCCCCGGCGGGCCAGCAGCATTCGAGGTCTGCGCCAAATTCTGTTATGGAATGACTGTAACCCTCAACGCCTACAACGTCGTAGCTGCACGCTGCGCTGCTGACTTCCTTGGAATGCACGAATCCGTCGAGAAAGGAAACTTGATCTACAAAATCGATGTGTTCCTTAGCTCCAGTATCTTCCGCAGCTGGAAGGATTCCATCATCGTCCTTCGAACCACCACCTCGCTACTGCCGCTGTCCGAAGACCTCAAAGTTGTTAGCCACTGCATAGAAGCTATAGCCACTCGAGCCTGCGTGGATCCGTCGAGAGTCGATTGGTCGTACAGTTACAACAGGAAGAAACTCCCTGAAGAAAATGGAGACACTGGAGTAGGAACAATGACAAATGAGATTATCATGAGAAACCGTTCAGTGCCGAGGGATTGGTGGGTCGAGGATCTGTGCGAGCTTGGGATTGAGCTTTACAAGCGTGTGATCACCACCATAACAAGCAAAGGGATCCTTCATCACGAGGTGATTGGTGAAGCTTTGAAAGCTTACGCTTACAGAAGGCTGCCAGGTGTACTCGGCAGCAGCAGCAGCAGCAGTAAGGGTGGTGTTGTCCAGAGTGAAGAAATGGTGAAGTATCGGTCGATGGTTGACGCCATCGTGTGGCTTTTGCCTGCAGAGAGAGGCAGCGTCTCGGGTAGCTTTCTTCTGAAGCTGTTGAAAGCAGCCAGTTATGTTGGCTCAGGTGATCAGACTCGGGAACAGCTGGTGAGAAGAATAGGACAGCAGCTGGAGTCGGCTTCTGTGAATGACCTCCTCATACGACGAGCTAATGGTGGTGGCGAAAGAGATGATGACAGCATGACGACTTATGATGTCGACGTGGTTCAGAAGATGTTACGAGAGTTTGTAACGCAAGATCAGATTGCTGAAGTTGAAGAGATCCAACAAGGAGCAGCTGCTGGGATTTTGTCAGATGCTTCCAAGCTCATGGTAGCCAAATTGATTGACGGGTATCTTGCTGAGATTGGAAAGGATCCCAACTTACCAGTGTTGAAGTTTGTGGAGATTGCAGAGATGGTATCTGGTGTGTCTAGGCCTGTACATGATGCTCTATACCGTGCCATCGACACCTATCTTAAGGTAGAACTCAAACTTGAAATTTGAGGCTTGTTTAGTTCTTAAGCTTGGAGAGTACAGTAGTCATTGAAGAGTTAGCTGATAGCTTTAGCAAATATCAACCCATTCCACTTTAAATTTGTCAAACACAGATCAATCTAATCCAAAGCCGATGAATATGTCACCTTTAAACCCAACTCGTTTGACACCTCAGTTGCTGACTATGGAGCTCTCACTTTTCATTGATTGCAGGAGCATCCAGGTATCAGCAAGAGCGAGAGGAAGAAGATATGCAAGTTGATGGACTGCAAGAAGCTATCTGTTGATGCATGCATGCACGCAGTGCAGAACGAGAGGCTTCCATTGAGGGTTGTAGTGCAAGTACTATTCTTCGAGCAGGTGAGAGTATCTGCGACATCAGGGTGTAGCACCCCTGACCTGCCGAAGAGCATCAGGGACCTAAACAACGGGTCTCAAAGGAGCTCGAGATCAGCTGTGACAAACCCGGATGAGGATTGGGATGCATTGGCAACCGCGGAAGAGCTAAAGGCCCTGAAAGCTGAGGTGGCTGCATTGAGACTGCGACGGATTGGGAGCAGCAGCAGTAACAATATGGATCGAGGGGGTGGTAGCTACAGAATGAAAGGGTTGCTGAAATCGAAGAAAGTGTTTGCAAAGCTGTGGTCAAGCAAAGGAGAGAAAGGGGAGAACAGTGGATCAGACTCGTCAGGATCTCTTGGATCTACAACTAATGGCACTGAAGAAGCAAAATCTACACCTTCAAGGAACAGAAGGAAATCAGTATCTTGAAAGTAGTAGAGATTTTAACATAGGGGGGGAAGGGTTGTCCTTTTTGCTACATTGGATCCATCAGTACTTTGGTTGGTTTTATTTTGTGGGGTTTCCTGTGAACACTGAATTTTAACGACTGTTAACACGTTAAAAAGGATAGCAGTTTATGGTCTTAAGGAGGCGAGTACAGTTGATGCATAGCATAGAGCTCGAATGAAGAATAGTGTGTACTAATCTAGTCCTGTATCAACTTCTGTGGAAAAAGGTTTTGGAAACTTTGAGGGTGGAGGGTAAATCCTACCACCAACTTTGAACTCCAATCCCCTGCTTGTCTTCCTAACCCGAAAACAGGAACATTCAAGTTTCCATCAAAACCTCAATTCTCAATGCAATGCTTCTTTACAGTACCTGACCATTACATTCTTGTCTAAAAGCCTTAAACCCAACATATTGGAACTGTACGAGGCATGTTCCGACCTCGATCTACATATGGTCTAGAACAGCACTAATTTCCATACTCCGTTACATAGGGAAGTAAATGCCAACTCAGTCATCCTTCAGATTTCCTATGCCTCCACTGCTTTATTATCTGTTCCCAACATCCTCACCCTTCTCGTAGACGAGGCGTTCTTGCCACTGCTACCACTGCTCTGCCCACCGCCATTGCTCTTGGGAACACATCTCTCCATAATCCGGATAGGGATTCCATCTAGACCGAAGTCTTCCTTCAATGACCTCGTTAAAAACCGAATCTCTGCCTCTGAAAGCTGATGCTTCTTCCCGCTTGTGAAGGCAACAAACGTGGGTGGACGAGCCTTCACCTGGGTTACGTACTTTATCTTCGGTTGCGACCCCTCACCTCTCCATGAATGCCTGCTCATAACCTGCCCCCAATGATACCAAGAAAGCAATCACGATTAACATTGATAAATCAGAATTAAAACAACCGATGATTATGCAGCCGAGTTTGTCTAACCTTACGCAACCAACGGTTCAACCGAGCGGTCGATAACCTTGAGCACCATTTCTCGTATGTCTCAATCACCTGACGCATAACAGGTATCCTGCCTTTACCTTCTATCGCCGAAGTGAATATAACTGGGATTCCTGTAACCTGCAGCAGACATAAGGACCCCAATGGTGAAAAAGAAAGTCGCCTAATTCAAAATAGGACGTAAAAAAGTAGACATACACACCTGCGGTATAACTGTTTGAATTTCCATAGGAACACTTTCCATGACCTTCTCATATAGCGAACCAGCCCGCTTTCCTTTAAGAAGGTCCATCTTGTTCACTACAACAACCAATCCACGCCCTTCTTCTACTGCTCGCCTAGCTATAACTACTTCAGCATGTGTCATACTACGTCCAGCTTGTACAATCTAATAAGTAGAACTTAACGTTGTTATGACCAAATAAAATAAAAGCATTTGAGCAAAAGGGGAATCATCTCCTACAAACTTTTTGTTCCTTTCCCAGAAGTTACTTTCTCTATTTGCCTCTAAAAAAAGTTCTGAAGCATGAGGTGTTCCCCCCAACCTTTCATCTTTTTCCTCTTCATTTTCATATATCAAGCTTTTGACCCTTTATATCAGGTGAATATCAATTAACCAAAGACATCCTACAGTAGAAATTAGGAGAACAGCCGAGGCAAAGAAAGCATGTCCAAAGCAAGGAGGTGAAGGTTTCCACAAGAATAGCATTTCACTGACCTGTTCTGCATCAAGTACCAAAGCTATCACATGAGCTCTCATCAAATTCTTTTTGGATTGCATTATGCTCAATGACGATGGTCTTTTCTCATCCTTAGTTCTGTGCAACCAACCTGCCGTGTCAACCTGGATTACATAGTAAATCAACAAATCCACAAAGTGCACATCAAAATCAGGCGAAACTGAAAGCAAACAAAGAGAGAATACGTGTAAAATAACAGTTGCTGAGATCTAATGGACAACAAAAGAACCAATTAGGAATCAGGATTTCCATTTTGCTGCAGCTTTAGCATCAAATGAACAGTTTAAGTTGTTGTATCTGTCAGCCTGCGTAGCAGATTGATCTGTGTTCAATCAATACAGTATTCCAGTTTTATACCTTAAAAGAAGAACCTGATAAATTCACCCTTGGGAGATGAAACAGATGAATGGACCAAACCATCACAAATGGGGTGGCCAAAAATAAAAACACTCAGGAAAATTGCAGGAAGCAGATTCACTTTCAGAAAATTACCCTCAAGATGCTGATAGTGGTGAACTGCATATTTGCTACATGCTTTATGGTTCTAATTATATCAACTGAGATTAGGGAGCTTAAATGTCTCTTTTCGCTTTCATGTCAGAACTTGCGCCATTTTTTCGCTTATTGGCAGCTAGACTTTCAGAATCATGAAATCGGATATATCCACCAGAAAAGCACAAAATTAACAGGCAAATCTTCATAAATATATTTAATTGTTTCTCACGGTTCAAAGCACAAAAATCCTTACCAAATATATAGTCCTCCCTTGAAATTCGAACTGAGCTCTAACAGAGTCTCTAGTCAAACCAGCTTCAGGACCCACTAGCACCCTTTCTTCTTGTAACAAGGCATTCAGCAAGGTTGACTTTCCAACATTGGGACGCCCAACGATTGCTAACTGGAGTGGCAATTTAGAATCATCAACCTCTTCCAGACTACTTTCACCGCATTGCTGTGGGCCTTTATCCTCACAATCACCTAAGGTTAGCAATATATAGTATTAAACGATCACCGAGCAAAACATACTAATGTGTGGTCCATATTCTACCATACAGATTACAAGCTTGTTCACAGGAATGCTAGAAATACCGGTGAGCCCTTACAAACCCCAATCAGGAGAACTGTCAAATTACTTCTAACGGTTCAATGGTGGACATACACATGATAAAAATATTACGTGAATTTCAGGCACAAAGAACAAAAGTATACTAGAGCAAAGGTTCCCCTTACTGTTCAAGACTTGCAATACATAATCCTCAATAGAAGGTCTGAGAGCTTCATGCAGTGCTGTCATGCCAAACCCCGTTTCAGCAGAAATGGCAATAGGATCTCCAAATCCAAGAATACGAGCCTCATCAGCAGCTTCGCTGAAGGACTCAGTCCCATCAAATAGCAATTCAGCTTTATTCAACACTACCACAGGTTTTATTTCTGGCGCATTTTTCCTCAGCCACTTCCCAACCTCCAAATCCAGCGGATGCAGGCCAGCTCTAGTTTTTCAGCAATACCAGGTAATGTAAAAAATTGCATTCATCAGTGTCCATTTGTGACATAACTACACATTCTACATTTTTTGGAGTTATGAAGGAAAAACACGTCCAAACAGTAAAATCAGTCAAAATGCATTAGTTTTTCAAGAATGTGATGCATCATCAGCAAGGAAGAGAAAGGTACCAGCCAGTCCAGAGGGACAGGGGACATCAACTATAAAGAAACCCTTTTGGATACATTACAGGACATAACTATTCACCTATTGCCAAGTAGCACATATGGAAACAATCCTCTTGTTAAAGTTCAAGTTTTCCTATGATGCATCTGAAGCAGCAATTTTATCATATACTGCAACAGCTGTCACATACACTCATAAATAAAAACACAGACCTGGCATCAATCAGGAACACTGCAAACTGAGTTCTTGCTAGCACATTGGCAGTCATGGTGGCTGTTCTTTGAAGAATAGACCCCGAAGTAGCTTCAGTTTCCAAGCCAGCTGAATCCAGTACTTTAAACCGCAAATCCCCCAATTTGGCAATCCCTTCTCGAATGTCACGAGTAACATGGTCATCGGGTGTATTGTAGACAAGAGCCTCCCTCCTCCGGATCAACCTTTGGCCCACGAAAATGACAAAAAAAAGAAGCAAATAATATCTTCAGTAAGCTCTCACACACACAATAACTAGCCAGTATACTACCCTCTACATATTCACATAACACAGAAATAAACAACCATGAAACTGACCGATTGAATAGGGCTGATTTGCCTACATTGGGGCGTCCAACAAGAATGACGGCTGGAAGGAAGTTGATGTCCAGTTTGGTGAAGTCGATTGGTCTTTTATGAAAAACCTTAACTTTAATGGGAGCGACAGCATCCAAGCAGGAGGGATCCAAAACCCGTGCAGCCACATCAGGTATTGAACCAGAACCAGACTTCAAATATTCGTCCTGAGAGAGGGAGGAGCAAAAGCTGCGACCGATCGTACTCAAATATGTGAGTCGGCCTTCCCTAGTATGAATGTCACTAGCACCAAATGAAGGTCCTGGAAGAGGACCATCAAGTGAAGAATAAGAGGCAATAACAACAGCAACAAAAGTGTAAACAAGGCAATTGACGGTGAAAGAGGCACTTACTATGTCCTGGTCTGAATCTGTTGGGTATACCATCGTTTGATGCGTGGATTGAGCGAGTGGGGTTTCCGGAGAGAAAGCTGCTGCTGCTGTGGCGAGCAAGGACTTTAAGGAGAAACAGTAGAGAGCCCTGCCTCTTTCGTGGAGAAAGGGCTGGGAGAGAAGTGATAAACATATACACTGCTGCTTTTCTTCTTCTTCTTCTTCTTTGGTTGAACTAATAATGATACATCCACAAACAGGGCATGAGAGACCGCCGCTTGCTGATTAACCGTCGTTCTGAATTAAGGAGGGGAGGCAGTGGGGGAGTCGCCCAAATTTCAGACTCAAACGGCACGAAATCAAAGTAAAGCCGACGATGAGACTTTCCCCAGACAGTAGCTCGATTTCCTGGCCTGCTGTGCTGGGTTCAAGCCTGCCTGATTTCTGTTAGAGGGGCATATCGGAACAGACGAACAACAGCATTAACTTCAAAAGAACAAACGCAAGCATATAACCAACAGTAGCAAGCAATTCAGAGCTATTTTGATTCTGAGATACTGAAGCAGTAAAAGCTCCAAAAGAATCAGATTTCTATAGTTCGACGATTGATAGAGCAAGAACAATTAGCTCCGATTATTTGCTTCTAATGTTGAACAAACAGCAGGTAGAGGGGCGATAAAGTGAACTGAGCTGGAAAAAACTAAATAGTGGGAATTAGGGACTAACAAGTCGACGATAAAGCTTCTCCGGCAGGGCTAACCGGCGACGAGATGCAGAAGACGGCCGGCGAGCTGCGGAAGACGATGCGCGGGGAGAGGAGCGGGAGAGGCGCCGATGATGCGGCCGGGGAGAGAACGCCGGCGGATTGGCGGACGGAGGTGGATTGGGGAGCCTTAGTTGTTGGCTATTCTCTATTCCGCTGGTTGCTGCCTCGTTCGACGGACGGACGGACGGACGGAAGGGAAGGCGTTAGTTGGCGGCCAGGGTTAGAAGAAGCCCCATTCCGCGAAAACGCCGACGTTTCCATGATCCGTGCCCGGATAAATCCTTTCAGAACTCCGGCTTTGAGCGGTTGTGGGCTAACTCAAAATATGTCTATTTTTGGCTTCTTTTATGCCCGGTTCTGGCCTGACCTGGTCCGACCATCTGGTCTGATCTCAGTTTGTCAATCTTGGTTTTGACCGATTTTTATCGATTTTGACCGACGACCAGCTAAGACTAAAACATGGCTATCAGGAACCGCTTGTGTGGCCGATTGTGGTCTGACCTGATCTGAGTATCCGACCGTTCAGTTGGACTCCGACTTAACAACCTTGAGGAGGACTGAGGAGTGGTGGGAGTAGTGTTGCTACGAATGACACTTAATTATTAGAATCGATGAAGGCGTGCCACTGGTCTTTATCTAGGGCACTTCGTGCCATCGAACTCGCTAACATGTGCACCTGGCACCATTACTCTTAAAATTAGCACAATGTTCAAAATTAGTTCTTCCTACTTTTTCATTGTACAATAAATCTTTTTGACTTATCATAAGCATCTTTTTCTTAAAAATGTCTTCTGTAGGCTCTAATACCAAACATAGATCTGGCAAATAGTTCATATTTATTTTCAAAGTTTGTTACTGACTGTTGTAGTTTTTCTAGCTTATTTATTACTTGGATACTAGTTGTCTCTTCTGGTTCTAAATTTTGTTCGATTACTGTGATGTGTGATGTGTCTAATTCTTTCTGATTATGTTCAGATCGTCCTTCTTTAACCTTGATGTAATGATTGTCAATTAGGTTGGAAAAGACATAACTACTATATCACTTGGCAGGTTTCATCATTCTTCTTCCACCTCGAGGGATCGATGTGGGAAGGACACTTCCTACTATATGAGCCAGGTTTCATCATAACACCAAGCAAGCTATAAGCCTAAACATTAAACGCCAGAAACCCTGTACTGTACTCATCTTAAAACTAATCCATGTTTAGAACACCAAATAACAGAGATAAAATGAGACAGGAATCATGGCCATTACATACAACTATATATACACTGTGCAACACTATCTTTTCTCAAGAGTTACCCCATTAACAAGAGTGTGTACTTACTTGTATACAGCTACTTAGAAGGGAGAGGGATGGGAGTTTTTTCTCTGTAATCTACTAGAAGGAGGGGTTACAAACATGGCTTGGAGGAAGACATGACATACTACACAAAGAAGACCGATCACATCTGGCTGGAACAAAAAACAACATGCCAATGATGGTGAAGCCAAAAACTAGCTGCTTCAGTCCATGTCATTGCTCTATTTTTTATTACCTCCAGTGCAGAATCTCTCACCCGAGTGGAAAAGGTGACGCCGTATGGATGTTGGTCATGTTAGCAGTGTTTAGAGAGTGAGTGGTCAAAGTGAAGATCAGTTCTCTACACATGTTGTCAGGTTGCCGGTAGTCGGTAATCGGTTTAGTTGCATCATGTGCGTCCTCAAGCTACAGTCTTTTACCTGTTAAATACATCATCAGAGATGTCAAACACCCGGGTTCAGTACACCTGGTGAGACTGAGACTACGTTACAACTCGCACGACCAAATCTCATGACATTTTACCTGCAAGGCCGCTAGTGTTGACAGGAAATCTCTACATTGATCAAGAAAAACTTTCTCCTTCGCTATTATGTTCACAAGTTCAGCCACCAAGGAATGCATTTCGTCCACCTGTCAGAAAACAAATGGCACTCAGATGTCAAGCTCTCTCTATATGTTTCAACTTCAAGCAAATTGCTATTGAAACCATAAATGTTTCAACTTCTTTTCCCAGTTTGTTGACTGCATAAGTTACCAAACCTACAAGACCATAAGACGATTCTGGTGGGCAATCCACCTAGCTAATATAGTGTTAAAGGACACAGAAGTACGAGCCTATTGAACAGATCATGTTCAAGTATCATGCTAATAAAGGAATTTAAGTATTCCATTAATCCATGAAATCCAAAGTGAAACTATATCAAGTTAACAACCATCCAGGCATTTTCACAAAACGCGCTAAGTCATCTGGTTCATGCCAAGACATTTTCATCTTGAACCTTTCCAGACACTAAACTGCTTGATTGTTGTTTGCTCTCAAGGTAGGTGACAATGACACATAAAAATATGGTCAAGCCACATTCTCATCCTTAGTCCTCAATTATCATTCACTTGGTAAAGGAAAAACTTGATAGGTCAGAATATTGCAAGACGATTATGGTCATTAGGAAACCTTAAGGAGTAGAAAGCAGGATGCATCAATGAAAAGGAGCACAAAGAGGCACAACGGGTATGGTCCTTAGGAAACCTTAAGGAATAGAAAGCAGGATGATCAATCAAAGGGAGTCCAAAGAGACAAAGCACAACAGCTATGGTCCTTAGTCCTCAATTATCATTCACTGGCTATGGTCCCTAAATCCCTTATATCTACCCGCTTACGAGTTATCGCGGGTGCCCAAGATCTGTGTTTCTTACACGAACTTTCTCTTGAGACGGTAGAATTCTATATATAAGATCAAAGGACAAGTTACCTTGGATAGTTGTGAGCATATCGAAGATGCCATCGCTTGCATTATATCAACGGCTGAGCCCACAGCATCCTTCAGGTTTTGTACATCGGCCTGTTATTTGAATAGAATATTAACATTGACAAGTGTTATATCCTACAACATGCAAAAATAAATTTAAATGTGATTGAGAATGGCGCCCCATACAATGGCTTTTCCAACAATTGGAAGACGGAGGGTGCTGGCCTTCAAGGCTTCAGTTGCTCCATCTAAGGAGGTAATGTGATCTCTCTCAATAACTGACCAATCATCGAGAAAATTAATCTGCATTTACAAAGGGAAGGAGCATAACCAATCAAAAAGAAAGTCACTGAAGACTAAACAAGGGTGACCTACATTTGCTATCTGACTGTGGAATAGTGCAGTAGACATCATCACATCTATAAACAAACAAGAGTATCCAAGCCTTTCTATAGCTGTGCAAAGAGTATTCTTATCACAAAAAGAGCAGCTAGGGCCTCCCATTGCGGTATAGGAATCCATTAATATCCGAACTATTAATTTCCAAGACATCCATCCAACTTATTTTCAAGTTAGAAGAGTAGCAACGAGTACCCAACTTTTTCAATGGTGATCTTGAATTCATATAAATGGCTTGCTTAGGGCAAGAAAAACAATGGGGAGAAAATGAAAATGATAGTTCAATGGAAACTGATCTTAGTACATCATGGTTTAAGGATGAGAAACAGAAAACGAGAGAAAAGAAAAGTATGAGTTTCTTTACCAGTTCCAAGGAATAATATGAAACACAAACCGTATTAACAGTAAAATTTGAGAGAACAAAGAAGAGAAGTCAACATTCTATCAACTACTTCTTTAATGAACAATGCCAATTCGCCAGTGTTTGTGCTAGGAAGAATGGAGCTGGGGCTCCAGAATGCACTACCCACAATAACCACATACAATTCATTTCACATTCTAGTAGGGATGAGATTTTAATGCACATAGCAGTTGCAGATAGTCAGCAAAAAGTTATAATTAACTGGATATTTGAAACCTACTTGTCCCTTCATAATAGAAGTTAGCTTCAACTTCTGCTTCAACAGGAGCAGCTTGACTCTTTTAAGCGTAACAGAGTGCCGCAGTTCCGATATTGTCAACCATGCATTCCACATATTTTTCTGGTATAAAGGATAGACAATGATTCAGCGACAAAGAATAGGAGATGATTTCCCAGTGCAAAATCAATAAACATTTAACTCGCAATTTATGAAACAACATGACGTACAAGCATTTGTGCTTCATTGGGACCGTATGGCATATGAAGAACTAAGGAAAAATCGCATTGAGCTAAGAGATTTTAGCAGAGGGAGCTTTTACGCCTTTAACGCTATATATTTCTGCCTAATCTTCTTCTATGCCCAAACAATATAGCATCCACATAAATGATAGTGTTCAACATACCGACAGCAAATATACTAGCAATTTTGGAGCTACTACAACAAAAGACAACTGGAGTTTCTAATTACCAATGACAATGCTTATTAGATTTCCAAAACAACAGTTTCCTACTTAATTGGAAGCATGCTTGCTACTTAACAGAACTATGATGTTCTGCTTAAGAACAAGAAAAAAGAACGAGAACCAGATTCTCCCTTCTTTCTTTATCTATCAAACAAGATACCACTGATTAATACTTTATACACGATAAAATATGGATTCAAATCTTCATTTGGAAACTCCTGAAACTTTCATTTGGTATCTAACGGCATTAAATTGCCTATTGTTTGTCCATTGAAGACCATCATTAACAGACACTGTTTTTCCTTGCTTAAAGCACAAGCTTATAACAACATTTATTTAACCGTCAAACACCACAAATATGGTTTAGGCGCAAAAATCAATTCCTCTTGTATAGCTAACAAGGTACATGATCCAAGCAGTTTACTAACTGACCTGAAATCATAAAGGCACCGAAACTAGAAGACTGAAACCAGCAGAAACTATAAAGGTTAGACGCGAATCTCGTACCTCTGCATTCAGTTTCTGGACCATGAAGGTGGTATCGGCCCTCGCATTTACAAACCGCCATTGCAAGTAACGGTTATAGAGAAGTCTCAAAGTGTGTGCATCATTGATTCGGTCTTCGCCAATCTTCCCCCTCCTCAAATCAACAGAAAAACTTAGAATTGAAGGCGTACTCATTGGACTACTACTCATTGGCCTCACCCTTGAAGGACTAGACATTCCTCTCATCGGAGAAGAAACTGAAGATGTCCATAGCTTACCAGGCGAAGCCGGCCTCGTGGACCCTCGTATAGGTGAAGCAGCCATTGATCTAGGAGATGCTAATGGACCATCAGTGCTAAATCTTTTCGACTGTGTGACCTTAGACTGTAAACTCATTCTTGGCCCTGGACTCGTAGAGAGTGGGGAGCCTGGATCCTGCAGCCTTCTCAACCTACTATTTGTTTCTTGCCAAAACCTTGAGGATACAACAATCCCACGAGGCCCAATTTTACCTTTGGAAATCCCAACCCCACCACCCAATTCTTGAACACCTGAATTACTACCAGAGGAA